CATAGAAATAGTGCACTCCAAATACAAATATGTGGCATGACGATGAGTGCAATTGATAGTTCATTTTAATCCAAGGGGACACAAACATGCAATATAAACTTTGGTCTAGTGTTTTTTCTTGTCATTTTGTAAAAATGTATTTTGACATTGGTGGTTGGAAAGAAATACGACAAGGGACGTATCAAGTAATTGACTATTAAGTATTTTCTTGATGGACGATAAAATGTACAAACCTGTGTCCATCTTTCCTGAAGTTATCACAGTACTAATATGGATATAAAATTTCTTATTTCATGTTTATCTCGTGTAATCTTGTAAACAAAACATTGTAAGAGTAACCTCCCTTCCAAGGTTAGTCAAAACAATGTGAAAGTTAATTTATTTAAAAAAATATGGTCATCCTCAATCCTGATTGGTTGAACATATTGGGTCAAACACTTCGGTAGCATGTGTAACATTCCTGAAATCGGATTGGCTGCGTATTGCTATCTCGGTTGAGGTATTATCGGCAAGTTGTGACATTCTGACAGTGAATGTCTGAGGGATGAATGGATAAAGTAAATAGATAACTGTCATTTAAAGATGTCACTAGATTCTGTATTGATACATCCGTAGACTATAAAGTGGAAGTCAACTAAGAAGGGTAGTAAACGTTTACATTAGCTTGACTAGCAAGAACGTGGTGGCAACTTGAAGTAAATATTTGCAAATGTTTATTTTCAGGAAAGTCATTCTTTTGCTTCACATATGATAAGATTACGAAATAAATGACAAACTTTATTCAATAAATATATTATACATCAGTGATGAATTAAGTAATAAGAACTAGTATATGATTTGTTATAAATTTATTACATTATTCAAACCTGTAAAATGATGTTTTGATAACATTTGGAAATTGTTTCACATCCAATTTGTCTTTTATTTGTATCTCATTTATCATAGAAACATATCTTCAAACAGTCAGTACGATTTTACAGTGAGCCTTTGGGAGTTCCGAAGAATATACATGTTAGATACGGTGGTATTATCACCCAAATATATATACAATAGTACTACTACACAAATTGCGAGAACACCAGTTGACACAAGAAAGTAAAGATACGTTTTTCCGCCAGTGTGAGTTGGGAAGTTCCCGTTGTTGTTTTCGTCCTTCCCGAATGAACAGGACATAAGGGCAGCTACAAATTGCTTTGTCTTGAGATCTGGATTTTTACTGAACTTCACGGTTAGCAGGTACTCCTGCAATACACCCTTGGCAAGACAAGGATGCTTCTCCGCCTCAGCAATAGCTGCGGGACATTCCTCGAGACATCCACCGTAGGGACTGCAGTTATGCAACACCTATAGAAAATATACAGGGCAATGTGAAACATCTCTGGTGCATTATGATCAGTTTATTTTCCAATATAAAATTTAGTAATGGTCACAGATCTGCCCAATTGACGCGCCGATATTACTGGAATGTTACTCAAAGCGGAGTAAACTAAACTCTCAATCACTTATTCACTCACTCACCCAAGGTGACTGCGCAGCAAATTGAAAGTTGACTGCATCACCCATGCAAACAGGTAACAATACAGATTGATCTGATTACACTGATGTAATCCATAACCAGCCACTTCAAATATGTTTTTCATAAGTATTAGAAATCTCTGCTAAAAGAGTCCATTGTTCGCTTCCGATATTTATGAATCCCCAAACCAGAGTCATGGTAAGAGGGGATAAGTATAAGTATGGCACAAATGCAAAGTCAAGTCAGTTATTTACCTGAAATTCACGGGACTAAATGGTACGATTCAAATTAAAGTATCATATTGTACACAATATTTGTCGTTAAGATGAAACTTGTTTCCAGCACAAGCAGATTCTACACAATCACAGTTCTGCTCCAAAAGATATTCATTTGAAGTTAAATATGAAGTTAAAGTCGCAAATATTGACAGAAATAATATATGCCTTTTTGGCAGGTATTGCAGCTTACCTTGTCCATAACCATTTTCGTGTTGGGATGTGAATTATTGCAGAAATCGGCAATCCTGCAACCCATAAGTACTCCGTTGATCATGTCACAGAGGTTGAGAGTCTTCCAAGTTACACAGACGTTGTTCCTGATGACACTTTTAGGGTAATAGACGAACATACCAAAACACATCTCGTCACTTGTAGCTAAACCGTAGAATGTAGTTTTCGTAGAAGACACGGATCGGAATACGCAACTCGTCTTCAGGGAATCGCCAGGTCGAACAGCCAATGGGGGATCATATCTGTTGTGAATAAAACGGTGAACGTGAAAGTGCAGGTGAAAGAACATTCAAACTTTTCTAAGGTAGCCGTACTACTTTTTGGCAGGACACATTGTGTGTTCTTACATTCCCTTTACCTGTTTCAATACAAATCAAAAGGGTGTTATCGACTTCCTCATTTAAGTGACAGATCTCTCTTAGGTAAGAAGTAAGACAGGAAATCACGGGGCGGAGAGAAGTTCAGTCGTCACCCGTCTGTCCGGTTTGGATTCCCAGCACGGTTACAATGTGTGAAGTCCATTTCCAGTGTCCCCTGGTGGGAAATTGCTGGAATATTGCTAAAGCGGCGTTAAAACAACCAACTCACTAAATTACTTCAAAGACAACACAAGTCAGCAATATCACCACAAATGCACTACTAATTTAATCGATTGGTTATCGACTGAAGGGAGATATTAAATAGCAAGGTGAATTTTAATACCAAATTTCATCAGATACAACCAACTTAGTTGCCTCGGTGACGTGCAAGTAAAGGTTTACTAATATCGCTCCTCGGGGCATTTAAATGAATAAACTTAGAGTGAGTGAGTTTAGTTTTACGCTGCACTCATCAATATTACAGCTATATGTCGCCAGTCTGTAAATGATCGAGTCTGGATCCGACAATCCAGTGATCAACAGCATGAGAATATACATTGGAAGTCGATGGCTATTACAGGGAACATGTCATGCATATCCAGAACGTCCTACTTGTTCATTTGGCCCTCATTTTATCAACATTAAGAGGGGCTCTGGGGGTAACCGTATGGTTCAAACATCCGCTAGTAACGCTGAAGACCCGGGTTCGATTCCCCACATGGGTACAGTGTATGAAGTCCATTTCTGGTTTTTCGCCACAGTGATATTGCTGGAATATGGGAAAAAGTGGTGTAAAACCCATATTCACTCACTCAACGTAATGATGTCAAGGTTGGAGAGACCGAACGGCTCCGAACACCAAGACTTCTTCGAGTTCAATACATAAGGTCCAAATGCATGAGTATGACGTTCAGTAGTATGCACGATAGGGATTCTGCATCACTTCCTCCTATGGCGTTATTTGGCATAAAAAATGTCCCCACCGATGGTTGAAAAATTGTGAAAAACGTTGCCGACCATGGTTCGATGTCCTCTATGTTTAAAATGTGTCGCCCATTTTGAGAGAGAGAGTCAAATTATCTGTATAGCTTCTATCTTGTCCAAAACAAACCAAACCCCACATACAAACATACATACAAACATATATATAAAAACACACTTTTGTCTACTCCATGTAGAAGGGATGCTCAGGTTTGGTCGTCAAAACTGGTTTTGGTGTTTCTCGTCGGCCTGTCCGGCCGACCGGTGTGTCGCCCGGTGTGCAGTGTTTCCAGGTCGTGTGGACGACCTTCCAGAGTAACACGGAGGCTAGGGAAAGGTATGTCCACTTTTGGGTCGATTCTAGCATCTAACCCCACCTTCTGCATGTCCAGATGGATCTCTTCCTCAATGCTTTCTATTTCCTCGTGGAGTTCGTCGTCGTCATCGTTCAGCACAGACAAGATGTTGACCACATAGTCATGGTTTGCTCCGCACGAGCCGACAACATCATCGTGGTTTGCTCCACACAGGCTTCGATTCTCCCAAGACAATCGTAGAAGTCTTGTATTGTCGGATTTGGAGCTATATCGCTAGCGGGCGAGGTCAGAGCTATCTGCATAGTTGGGGAGGAAATGGGTTCTGTAGTATTTGCATATCTTCTCTGAATTCCATATTTTGTAAAGTAGTCGATTGGAACCGATTCCAAATGGTTGTTTAGTTCCTTGGACACGAAGGTAATCAAACGATTGTACACCTAATAAGTGATGCTCCAATTGACGTATGTAGGATCAATTTATTTATGACCGAAAAAAAGGATCAATTTCACTATACACAGATTGAAAGTCTGAGCAGACTTTTAAGAGATCAATTGAAATATAAAGGTAAAATGTACTTCTGCGAACGATGACTGCATGGTCACAGTAGACTTGATCTTTTAGAAGCATACAAAGAAGATTGGTGGGACAGACCGCCATTAGAATCATCATGCCGGAGGAAAATAAAAACATTCTCAGATTTATCAATCATAACACACAAATGCCCATGCCCTATGCCGACTTCGAATCCCTCATAAAAAATATTGACCCCCAAGAGACCTACCACTACCGAAGAAGGTTTCACTTATAAAACACAAGAAGACAAAGCTTGCAGGTTCGTGTACGTTGTAGTTAGATGTGATGGACAGACTATAAAAAACATGATCTACCGAGGTCATGACACTGCTGTAAAGTTTCTCACCTGTTTTCAACACGAAGAGAAAATTATCAGGGAGACTTTATCAAATATTATGCCTGTGCGTAGCATTCGAAATAATCGCCGGCCCGGAGGCCCAGCGCCGGTTGTTATTGTATCGGGCCGGCAGTTTCAAATATCTACTGGCCCTTATGGCCTTCAGTAAGTTATCTGTCATTTTTGTCCCCTGCCGCAACGTGGAACGGAGACTATTTGTTCAGCAGTGTCCGTACGTGCATCCCGATTCTTGTTAACGCGATTTCTCATGAACTGTTGCACCCAATGTATTCAAATTTGGTGACAGCCTACACTGGGGGATTCCACAGACGACCAGTGGATTTGGGTGACCTTGACCTTATCTTCAAAGTCACCACGACACTTTGACCACTAATGCGATATGCGATATCTCATAAAACAATGCACCAAATATCTTCAATTATGTCGACAGCCTACATTGGGTGATTATGAAGACACCAATCATTCCAGGCATCTTGTATGTTACCGAAAGATACAAAGTAGTAGGCACCCGTGAAGAGCCACCTCCTCGTGGTGGGTGCTGGGTAACACTAAGCGCTCTTCAACCCCCTGTTGTGGACCCGGAGGTATATTTGGTCCACCAACCCGTTTGCCGTGGGTTGCGCCCCTGTGTCGGTGGAGGACGGGATTCTGGTGGTTGAGGGCACAGGAGCCAGGAACAGTGTTCCTTTTGCCCAACACACCACTTCGACCCATACTTCACCTAGACGGGTGGTAGAATGGGCCCGGTTCTACCAATCGGCTGGTCACGCCAGGCCCTGTGCATGGAGAGTATTTCTGCACATATTTAACATATTATTTGGTCTTGGCTCTTTAAATCAAATCATATAATTGCATGTATCTATGAAACTGCCTAGAGTCCTTTGCCAGAAGGCGGTGGCTCATGGGCCAATCTGGTTATACAGACCTCTGATTTCTGTGTTTCTTTAAGGAAAATGCCATGGGCCGAACCAGCCTGACATTTCTTCTTTTAGTGACTTCAGATTTTCATGTCTCTATTTCTGGAGTTAAACACCCCTGTAGCCCTGGTGTTGCAGTGTGGTTTCCCCTGTGACACCGTTTTTGTTGACACTCGATGACGGGTGGGGAACAGGAGTGCTGAACCATATAAATTCTATGATGTCTCAAAACAATTCTTCTGGTTCCGCAAAACAAAACAAACGTCGACATGTTGAGGCTTTATCATCTGATGATGATGTATCTCCCTACCGTCATAGATTCTTGGCCAAAGTTTGTTGTCATTGCTCCTGCTGATGGGGACACTCTAAAATTGAACCCTTTTGCTATTTCCAAGGGCATTCAAGGTGTATGTGGTGCTGTGAAAAATGTTCGCTTCTTCGAGGTGGTTCACTCCTGAGTGGAATGTACAATGCGGCAACAGTCTGTTAACCTGCTGTCCTTAAAACAGTTTGTTAACACCAAAGTTGTTGTGTCGGTGCACAAAACACTGAATTCTACTCGACGAATTATCAGAGACCGTGCTCGTTGCTTGACTGACATGAGCGAAGAGGAAATCGCTGCTGAATTGAAAAGACAAGGAGTGACTGTTGTCAGGCGGTTTACAAAGAAACAACATGATGGTGCTATTAGCAAACTAACACCTATCTTTTCACCTTCTCACTTCCAGTTCTTCCTAAATCTATTAAAGCCGGCTACTTCAACATCAGTGTGGAGGTATATATACCTACCTAACCCACTAAGTTGTTACAACTGTCAAAGTTTGGACACAGTTCCAAATGTTGCCGTGGCATGTCAACATGCTCCCGCTGTGGTGGTGCTCATGAGAGCTCAGAGTGTACAGACAACATCAAGTGTGTCAACTGCGGCGGACAGCACATGGCTTCCTCAAAATCATGTCCAATTTTCCCCCATGAGACCAATATCCTAAAGATAAAACACACGAATAACATCACTTATCAAGAAGCTAAAAGGTTGGTACCATCTATTGGTCAGAACCTGTCTACAAAACCTATTCAGCTGCGATTTCCTCACCTGCTCTTGTTACTAAAGTTCCTACTGTATGAGTTTCCTGCCAAACAGTTATTTCTTGGCTCAAAACAGACCATATTCAGCCGGTTCATTAAACTCACTCAACCCATACAGGTGCCAGAACCACAGAAAAGAGCCGGTTCAGAGAAAAAAGTAACATCTTCGTCTCACACAGACTCTCAACCCATACAGGGGTTCATAATACAATAATCGTGAATCACTGGAATTGTACCTCCCTCCCGCTCACGATCTCTAAATTTCACTTCCAATATTTTTCAAAGATATACAGTTACTTATACAAGATTTTAAACCATCGGTATTTTGTCTACAAGAAACATTTTTCAAGGAAACAGATCAAATTGATGTAAGACAATATTCTTCCTACAACTTCTTTTCTCCTACGGGGCCAAAAGCCACTGGAGGATCTTCCATATTAATCAGGCAGGGTATAATACACAGTCCTGTTACTCTGAATACAACACTTCAGGCTGGTGCTGTTCGTGTGACCATGCACATTGTTTTTACTTTGTGCTCTCTCTATTTCCTCCTTCCTCCTCTGCACAGCTTGTTGATCTCCAACTCTCCCAAGCCCTGTATCATCATGGGTGATTTGAATGGCCACAACCCTCTCTGGGGAGGTACACATACAAACACAAAAGGGAAAATACTGGAAGACTTTTGTTTCTAATAACAATGTATGTATCTTTAATGATAATTCCCACACCTATTTACATCCTGGTACAGGAACATATTCTTCCCTTGATTTATCAATTACCAACTCTAACCTGCTGAATGAGTTTGAATAGGTCAGTCCATGACGACCTGTGTGGAAGTGACCATTTTCCGACCATTCTGAAAGCCATAACTCCATCTGATGTTCCTCCATTGTCAAGATGGAACTTTACTAAGGCCAACTGGCCTTTATTTGAAATACTTGCATCAAACAACTTAAAACCGGAACTGTTTATAGATGTTGCTGTCCCTGTCCAACTATTCTCTGATGAACTGAATAAAATTGCCGATGAATGTATTCCTAAGTCCTCTACAAATCCACACATACGAAAACCATGGTTTAACAATGATTGCAAACAAGCTAGGAAGGCACGGAAGAAAGCCGAGCACTATTTCCGTCGCCATCCTATGGTCCACAATTTGGACAAATTTAAAATTTTAAACGCCAAAGCACGACGTTCTTTCAAGCAAAGTAAACGCCAATCTTGGCGAAACTATATGTCAAAAATTAATTCGCGCACACCCATATCGAAGGTGTGGAATATGATCCTGAAAATCAAGGGTAAGGGCTCTAAATCCAGCATTAACCATCTAAAAGATGGGAACCAATTATTGACCAATAAATCAGATATTGCAAATAAACTTGGTGAGACGTTAGCCAAACATTCTTCCTCATCTAATTATGTGCCTGGGTTCCAAAAATATCAAACACAGCAAGAAAAGAAAGCTATAAATTACAATTCGGATAATGGGGAAGATTACAACGAAACATTTTCGATACACAAGCTTCATACTGCTCTTGACCAGGCCCACAATACTGCTACAGGAGCTGATAACATACATTATCAACTCCTGAAACACTTACCAGAGAGACGCTCATGTTTAGAGATGCTCTCTGGAAACTTTCCTTCGTCGTGGAGGGATGCTATAATTGTTCCCATCCCAAAATCTGGACGTGATCATACTGATCTTCCAATTATAGGCCAATTTCACTAACTAGCTGTGTTTGAAAGACCATGGAACGCATGATAAAATAACCGCCTTGTTTGGTACTTTGGGAAACAAATAACCTAATAACAAATATACATAATGCGGTTTCCGCAAAAACAGAAGTACCATCGATCATTTAGTGCATTTAGAATCTTTTATTAAGAATGCCATAGTTAACAAACAACATGCAGTGTCGATCTTTTTCGATTTAGAAAAAGCATATGACACAACATGGAAACATGGGATTTTAAAAGATTTACATGACTTTGGATTACGAGGCCGTTTGCCTCAATTTATAGCCAACTTTTTATATGACAGGCAATTTCAAGTCCGAGTGGGTTCAACCCTGTCTGCCCATTATAATCAGGATCAGGGTTTCCCACAAGTTAGTATATTGTCTGTCACATTATTCAGTATCAAAATTAATAGTTTATCAAAAGTTTTCAATGATTCAATTGATGGATCATTATTTGTGGATGATTTTAATATTTCTTGTCGTGGCAAAAACATGCATACTATTGAACGGCAACTGCAGTTGTGTTTAAACAAAATAAATACATGGTGACTTGAAAACGGCTTTAAATTTTCTAAATCAAAAACTAATTGCATACATTTCTGCCGTAAATATAAACCACATATATAAACCACACAGAACTCGTTTTAAATGTCACTCCCATCAAAGTTGTTAAGGAGGCCAAGTTCTTGGGCCTAATCTTCGACTCTCATTTAACTTTCCTTCCACATATTAAATCCCTTAAATCTAAATGCCTGAAGGCACTTGACTTGTTGAAAGTCGTTTCCAATTCTAAGTGGGGAGGGGATCAAACTACCCTCCTACACCTATATCGATCATTGGTCTGCTCGAAACTTGATTATGGCTCCATCGTATATGGTGGAGCCTGCAAAAGCAACTTAAAACTATTAGATTCTGTCCATCACCAAGGTCTAAGACTTTGTCTTGGATCCTTTAGAACTTCTCCTGTTGACAGTCTCTACGTCGAGGCAGATGAACCATCTCTTACACAACGCCGTATAAAATTATCCTTGCAGTATATAACAAAACTTTATTCTAACGAGTCTAACCCTGCATTCAACTGTGTCTTTAATCCTCTTTATGAGGATTTGTACAACAAAAAGCCTTCTCTTGTTCCACCTCTTGGTTTAAGAATTAAACCATTCATTTCTGCTGCTGGCATTGAGCTGGAAAATATAGCTCCTTCCCGTCTTCTTTCTTCTCCTCCTTGGCAGTTGGTTAGGCCACAAGTTGACTTAACATTAACAGCATTTAAAAAAGCAGAAACTAATGAATTACAATATAAACAAGAATATAATCAATTAAAAAGTAAATCTAATACATATAAATCCTTATTTACAGATGGGTCCAAGGATGGTGGCGCGGTGGCTTGTGCCACTGTCATTGGATCCAGAACAATCTCTTCTCGTTTACCAAGATAACAGCTCTATTTTTACAGCAGAAGAAAACGCCATATTAACAGCCTTAAATTATATTAAAAAACACCTATATATCAACAATATATTATCTTTTCTGACTCACTTTCTTGCCTTCAGGCTATTAAAAATATTTCTTGTAAACATCCACTTTTATTAGAAATTATTGAATTGTATAATGAGCTTGCTAATGGCCAATGCGACATCGTCTTTTGTAGGTTACCCAGCCACGTTGGCATTTCTGGGAATACAATGGCTGATCTTGCTGCCAAGGCAGCACTCAACAAATCTGTGACACCACTTCTAATTCCATACTCTGATTACAAGGCTAGCATTAGAACTTACATCCGTGATCTGATGCAGAAGAAGTGGGACACCCAAGTAGGTATTAATAAATTACATGCAATAAAACCCTACATTGGTGACACCTTCCTTGGGTTGTCAGTCCAGATTTGAGGAGGTCATCATACGACGATGTCGTATTGGCCACACAAGATATACTCATGAGTACCTATTAAAAGGTGAGGATCCTCCGTTTTGTATCCCTTGTGATGAAAGAATCACGGTCAAGCATGTCCTGCTTGACTGTGTTGAATATTCCATCACAAGGGATATCTATTTCAAAGTAAAAACTATGAAGGATCTTTTTAGTAATATAAGTTCTCATTTAATTATTGCCTTTTTAAAAAAAATAGATTTGTTAACTGATTTGTAAATAGATATATATTTTATTATTGGTAGTTTAGATTAGTAACTGAGATTGTTAGTGGCTGTACCCTCAATGGGGGTTGAAGTAGCGTAAAATTATTGTCCTCCTGAGAGGGTACGTAAGTCCCAAAACTTTCAACGGAAATTTAAATTCACCAGCTGTTTTAAATGTAGCATTTCTGTCATTTTAATTTTGGCTAAATTTGACTTCAATCGCCAGCGGCTGAAGGGATGATATAAATCCAGCTAGGGCCCATGCAGGTAGCAAAAGTACTGTAAGTCCCCATGGACCCTAGTATGGTGATCTACCTTCAGTTGTTGGTGATCTATAGCCTATTTTTATATTGTGTTGTCCCCTATAGTTAAAATGTTTTAGATTCAATTACTAGTTTTACATGTATATCTGTGATACTCTAGTTGCTTTACTGTCCTTTGTCGGCAGGTTTTTATACTATCTATATATATTCTATTTCAATGTCAAGTGTTCTCGTCACGATATGGCTGAAATATTGCCGATGTGACGTTAAATAATAACTCACTTACTCACTACAAAGTAGTAAATATGTTAAAACATTACATTCTTCTTAAGCGGCAGGGGACATTGCCATTTTAGTGGCAAACACTTGTTCAGCGCGAACCCTTCCTTTGTTTTTTGTAAAAAAATTCTATTTTCTATTCTTTTTTTGGGGAGGAGTTTATTTTGTTTTTCTTTATTAGCGTTCGGGAATCATCCATGATCCATCATGTTTCGATAACTTACAGTTTCACTTCCTGGTATTACAGCGCTTTGCGCATAGGAATATCAACACCAGTCTTTACCGAATAAAAACGTCCCTCGGCGCCCTAGGCTTCGCTAATTGATTTTGTAGAAACAGTTCGAAACTGCGTACAGTGTAGTTATTTTGTTTCTATTGGTTTGACTTTAACAACATGGGCCTGCAGATTTCATTCAGGGCCTGTAGATTGTAAAGCCTGCAGGCGGCAGCAGGCCCTGATGGCCAACTAGCAAATTAAAGTATTGCGAACACTACCTATGCGTATGACTCCAGAGGATGAGTTTGCTCATCAACGAGCTAAATATTGTCACGTATGCCAGGGACCCCTAAAAAACGATTCGGTGAGAGATCATTGTCATGTCATGAGTCAGTACCGAGGAGCAGCTCACTGCGTGTAACTTGAAACCCAAAACCATCCCCATCCCCATGGTGTTTCATAATCTTTGTGGTTATGATTCTCACCACATCATGCAGGCCATCTCGAAAATCGACGGTAAGTTAACGTGCATCCCCAACATGGAAAATTACATCTCGTTTTCATTGGGGGGATTGAGATTCATCGATAGTTTGGTGAAGACCAACAACCTGGATGACTTCACTATCACGAATGAATAGACTGACACAACGACGCAATCGTTTTTGTTAAGGAAGGGGGTCTACCCGTAAGAGTACATGGACGATTGGTCTAGATAAGGAGACACAATTACCTCCTATCGAATCATTTTATAGTCATTTAACTGAATCAAAAATACCACGCCCTTGAGGCGTGGGACAAACTGGTTGTGAACATTAAGGTGACTACCACGATCTGTACTTGTATACGGACGTACTGCTGCTCGCTGATGTTTTAATAATAATAATAATAATGAGAAGTCTTATAATGCGCTAATCTCCACCCAACAATGTATGCTCGAAGCGCTAACACAAACATATATACATCATGATGAAAAGTCTAATTCTCGAACAAATGAGTCTTGAGGCTTGCTTTAAATGCATCAAGTGTTGAGACGGTCCTGCGTGCAGCAGCAATTTGGAATGATCGTAATCCAAACGTTTTCATACGGTATGGCAGCAATTTAAGCTGTAGTTGATGAGCAGATCTGAGATCTCTTGCAGGTTCCAACACAGCAATGAGATCGTTGAGATAGCCGGGAGCTTGATGATGGATAGTTTTGTATATGTGAAGCCAGTGTAGTGATCTCAATACTGGTGATATGTAAGATTTCGGGCTGGTTCTTGTGACGATTCTAGCGGCAGTGTTTTGAATTTTTTGCAGTTTATATATAGTTTCTTTGGAACATCCAACGATGAGACTATTGCAGTAGTCCAATCTTGAAAATATGAGAGCTCTCACAAGAGCTGATGTGGCGTCAACAGTCAATAGGTGGCGAATGGAGCCAATATTCCTTAAATGGAAATAACAGATACGACAAAGATAGTTGATGTGATCTGTCATAGTTAAGATGGAATCAAGTTGAACACCCAGGTTTCTCACAACCGGTGAGAATTTGATGTCAGCTGTCCCGACAGATAGATGATTGACGCAAAGTTTTTTGAGTCTAGACGACTATAGCTTCTGTCTTCTCGTCGTTCAGCTGTAGTTTGTTAGTTGCCATCCAAGTCTTGACAACTTGAATGCATGATTCCATGTTATGTACAACTGATTGTTGTAACAGAGGGTCCAGAGGAAGACCTTTCCACAGCTGGGAATCATCAGCGTAGAAGTGGTATGGCACACTGTGTTCTTGTATGATGTTTCCAAGTTGACATGTATATAGAGTAAACAGTACGGGACCAAGCACGGAACCCTGGGGAACTCAACATGTCAGCTGGATGTTCTCTGATTTGGTGTCCCTCATCATCACACATTGTCTTTTGTCCGTCAGATAGGACTTGAACCAGGTGAGAACAGTTCCTTGTACTCCAAACTCACACTGTAAGCGTGCTAACAATCTCTGGTGATCCACCTTATCAAAAGCCGAGGAAAGAGCGAGCAGTACCAGAAGAGAAACATCACCACTGTCAACAATCATGTTTACATCATTAAGAACACAATTCAGGGCTGTTTCTGTTCCATGTCCCGTCCTGTAGGCCGATTGGTATTTGTAAAGAAGATCATTGGCAACTAAATGCTCCTGAAGTCTAAGTTTAACTGCTTTCTCAAGAAGTTTAGAAATGAATGATACATTGGGGATATTCAGAAAACGTGCTCGAAACAATACGGCCTAGACGTAGTGTGGTATTACTCGGTTCTCTTTTGGGATGGGCTCTTGAAGAAAACAAGATTCAAATTGGAATCATTGACGGACTATGACATGCACTTGTTTACCGAGAAATGCCTGAAAGGAGTCATTCCATGGCTGCTAAGCGATACACTAAAGCCAACAATAAATAGGTTGAGGGTTACGACTCGAGTAAACCCACCAACCACATTCTTTATCTCGATGCCAACAACTTGTACGGTTGGGCCATTTACCCACTAGGGGATTCGAGTGGATTGGACCCAATTGCCGTGTACATCAGTTTAAGACCTAAAATGTATTTGATTAAAAAAGCCGATCATGGTGAAATCAAAAGCGCCAAAAGGGTAAAAAATACGTGGTAAAACAAGAAATCAAACACACACTCTTCAAACAAGCTTTTCCACTTATGCTTGTGGACACCTTTGCATTAATTAAAAAATGAAATAAAAAAAAATATAATTGAGTAAAAACATAGGGGACATCGAATGATGGTCGGCAACGTTTTGAACAGTTTTTCAACAATCGCTGGGGACATTTTGTATGCCAAATAACGCCATAGGAGGAAATGATGCAGAATCCTTATCGTGTATACTACTCGTTCCATACTTCTTACGTCCCCTAATGAACAATTGCCTAAAACATCCACCGCCTCACAGTCGTTCAACGTATAGATTATTTGTTACTTATTCTTCGTTAATATGAGGGTTTTTTAATAACGGGGTCATACTGTAATACTATACTGTTCTTTGTGAAAAAAGTAGTAAATTAATTTTTTCAACGTTTGTCCATATTCATGTGCTGTCTGTACGAGTGTTACTACAAGTAAGAATCTTACCGCACGTCAGTTGGATTGTCGTAGCTATAGTTTTGATCATTTGTGAGATATCTTCTCGTGTCTCCGCTGAAGAGTTCCACTGTCTGTGCGATGCCTGGAGGAAGGACAGTCAAGTTATGTCAAATAATAACATATACGAGACATATGTAAATTATTACACGGTGGCTATTTTGTTGACTGCACAGCATTGCATTATGTAACAGGCCTTGGAGGAACCCTTTGTTCGTGGATTCCATTTGGCCCTGAGTATCTTTCTGGCTGTGCTCTTAGGGTTTACTCAAGATGTTCATTGGCCAGAGCTATACGCGTGTTCCTGTCATTCTCAAGACAAAGAAAAATTTAAACATACCAAATATTTTCTGCTAAATTTTCCTACAATCGCCTGTGGCTGAGGGGATGGTATAAGTCCAGCTAATGTCCATGCAGGTAGCAAAGGCACTGTAAGTCCCCATGGTCCCTAGTATGGTGACCGCCTCCGTGGTGTAGTGCTTAGAGCGTCCGCCTGGAGAGCGGAAGGTCGCGGGTTCGACCCCCGACCGCGTCATACCAAAAGACGTTAAAATATGGTACTTGTTGGTCCCTGCCTGGCGCTCGGCATTAATGGGTACAACAAGGACTGGTCGGCTCGGAGTCAGTATAATGTGTCTGAGTGGGGTATTCATGCTTCACTGCGGCGTGGTATCTCAGTGGGCAAGCACTATAAAACCAGCTTAAGTCTGGGCTAGTACAAGCAGCCGCACATACACATACACACGCATGCACGTCATCATATGAGCGAGATATTCTCAAGAACGACGTTAAACCCAATTTCACCTCACCTCACCTAGTATGGTGATCTACCTTCGGTAGCTGGCGATCTATAGCCCATTTTAATATTATATTGTCTTCATGAATACATTATTTATTTACCAGCTAGTTTTAGACACAATCTGTGATACTCTAGATGTATATTTTACAGTCCTTCGATGACTACTTAACTTATTTAACTACTTGTAATTAATGTATATGTCAACCTTTTATCATCACTATATGGCTGAAATATTACCGATGTGACGTTAAATTTTAACTCACTCACTCACTCTTTCTCCAGATAGTTTCCGTCATATAACATACGTAATGCATGCTTCCAAGGTTCAAGTAAAAAGGCGTTGAACAGCTTTCAGCAGTAGCAGGTCATGTCAACTTCATTTAAGAACTCACAAAGTAACCCGAGTCCCTGGTGTTAACCAACTAGTAAAATAGTACACGAATCGCGATAAGGGATAATGTATTCATTTTAGTGAAATCTCAAACCAGTGGATCCTAATACAACTGAGGAGGGCAACCAGTATACCGAATGCAACTCCAAAGGACACAACGTTTTGTACTTCCCATTTACAGGTGACATCACCTGAAAGCATGGGGCCCATAGCTTTAGGTGAATCTAGGAATCGAACACAAGGCAGGATGCTTGCAGGCCTATGCAACTCTACACAATGAATGGCAGTGCTTTACATCAACTGACCACTGTTCAACAGATAGGAGCAAACTTACCTTTATAATGCATATGGACGTATCCCTCAATTAGGTATATGGTGTCTCTGAGGATCTTCTTGGTGCACCGTGATGGACACATAGATTCGACCACGGTCCTGCTTCGTCCCGGTGGGATCACTAGGTGGCTGTCACCAGTCCAAAAGACTCCCGTGTCGTGAGGGCGGAGGTTGGGGGTGTAGAAGATGCTGAAGCCTGAGCCGTCCATCTGTCCGGATATCTTGTGGGGGTTGTTCCAGTGAAACTAAAACAAACCAAAAATACATATACAAAAATTAGTGAGTGAGTTAAAATTTAACCTCACTTCGGCAACATTTCAGCCATATAGTGACGAGAAATGTCTTACATAAACAATAAATTTAGGTTGCTAAGTAATCAGTCATCGAAGGACTGTAAAATAACTAGAGTATCACAGATGGAGTCTAAAACGGGCTATAGGTCGCCAACACCTATACAAACTTTAACTTGTGGTGACTCAACTAGAGAACAATCTAACATGAACAACAATCCATAAACTTACAATGACACACAACCTATTTAGACTGTCTGATCTTTATGGCAATGATTGGTTACTGGCCTTTCAGCTTTCACATGTAATCATTTCACACTGATGTGGCATCATTTCATATGTCACATTCTTATGTTCTTTGATCAAATACCAACTTCCTGTTTACATATAATGTGTGTGTTATTGGTTCATTGCGAACAACGTCTACTTTTTCATACAGGGCAGCTAGAATAGGTTGTTACCAATTATATTTCCTACTTTTGCTTGTTCTACCAGTATTAACATGGCACATGAACTGAAACTAGTCTATAAGACCTGTAACGGGTGCCTTCAAAAGAATGAGAATTTTTTTTTATCCCCCGCCGCGCGTTTAGCGCGAAGCGGGGGATATAGTATTAGGCTCCGTCCGTAAGTACGAATTGGAATATCTTAAGAACCGTTGACTGGATTCTTTTCATTTTGGTACCTAGGTTCATCACAGTAAAAGGAAGGTGCCAGTCACATTTGGTGACCTTGACCTTCATTTCAAGGTCACTAGGGGACTTTAACGTTTTACCTGCACGTTAAGCTATCTCAATAACCATTCACTGGATTTTCTTCATATTCAGTACCAAGCTTTATCTAGGGAAGGCGCAGGGCCCAGTCGATTTTGGTGACCTTCACATAATTGTCAAGGGCACTGCGACACTTTGAAGATTTCAGCATGTAAACCTGCATGTAAGCTATCTAAAGACCCCTTCACTGGATTTTGTTCATATTTAATACCAAGCTTTATCTAGGGAAGGCGCAGCGCCCATTCAATTTTGGTTACCTTCACATAATTTTCAAGGTCATGGCGACACTTTGAATATTTCAGCATGTAAACCTGCATGTAGCTATCTCAAGAACCCTTCACTGGATTTTGTTCATATTTAATACCAAGCTTTATCTAGGACAAGCGCAGGGCCCAGTTGATTTTTGGGACCTTCACATGATTTGTAGGGTCACGACGACACTTTGAAGATTTCAGCATGATATCAAGATATCGCAAAATTCAGTGGATTTACTTCATATTTGTCACCAAGCTTCATCTAGGGAAGGCCCAGGGCCCAGTCAATTTTGGTGACCTTCACATGATTTGTAGGGTCACGACGACACTTTGAAGATTTCAGCATGTTAACCTGAATTGTCAGCAAGATATTTCAAGAACGGTTCACTGGATTTTCTTCATAGACTTTCAAGACCTCCCTTGAATGTTTTTCAATAAGCAATTTCTTTAGTACTAGTTTTGCATATTTCATACACTATGACATTCATGTCAAGGTCAAAGTCAGTGTTGAAAATATGTGTGTGTTTGAACAACTAAAGAGCAAGATATCAAGAGAGGTTGACTGGTCATGTTTTTGTTGACATTTAACTTCATCTTAAACTTTCATTACTTTATAAGTTTGATTTGATAATTTGCGGCGGGGGATTATGTCACCTTAGTGACAATGCTTGTTCAACTTGTAATGCCCATTGGTATTAGGCTGTTCACCATATTTGGGTATTGTCAAGAGAGAAGCCATCTGTGATTATACGACAAACAGGTAGGTTGCAGTATGATGCATCTTGGCAGTGACAAGTTACAATACATGTTCTGCAATACGTTCCTATTAGTGGCACAAAATTCCACTCGAAGAAAGAATGTGTAACCTCTGCGACACGTGTGATGTTGGCGATGAATTCCACTACATTTTTCTTCAAAGACCATCGGAAAACTTATATCCCAAGCCATTATGTTAAAAACCCCCAATGTTTTAAGATTTAACGGATTGTTTAACTGTAAACGAATTAGTGTTTAAAAAAAATGTGTATATTTTGTAGTACTATCATGAAAACTACAATCTTCCGTGTAAACCATCCCGCCACCCCATGTATTCTCCACTGTATATCTGTACTTCTTATGCTCAGTATCCCGGCCTGAGTGTAATAAAAGTTCTGTTCTGTTCCTGTAATGTGAATACCAAACATGAAACGGCCTTCGATTAGGAAACGGTTTTCAATGATTCAATTGATGGATTAATATTTGTGGATGATTTAAATATTTCTTGTCGCGGTAAAAATATGCATACTATCGAACGGCAACAGCAATTGTGTTTTGACAACATAAATAAATGCTGCCTGGAAAACGGCTTTAAATTTTCTAAATCGAAAACTAATTATATACATTTCTGCCGTAAATACAAACCGCATAAAGACTCTAAATGGCACCCACATCAAAGTGGTCAAGGTGGCCAAATGTTTGGGTCTTATTTTCGATTCACATTTAACATTCCTGCCACATTTTAAATCCCTTAAAGCTAAATGCTTGAAGGCACTCGATTTGTTAAAGGTTGTTTCTAATTCAAAGTGGGAAGGGGATCAAACTACCCTCCTTCACCTATATAGATCACTGGTGCGAGTAAAACTTGATTAAGGCTCCATCGTATATGGTGGAGCCTGCAAAAAGCACCTAAAACTATACTGAGTCAAAAAAGAAACTTCACAAAATGTAATTTGAAAAATAATGAATAATTTTTCTCTGATGATACTTCTATGTATCCGAAATGGGATCCCTATCTGTCGACTCTAGAAAAACGTTAGCAAAACCCACTCAAACCCATCCATTCGTCGTGCAAATGACGTTAGTGCCAAATCAGGTTTTGCACGTGCAGTCGATCACGTGATCTTCGCATCGAAGTTTTCTTCATATGCACGTGTTTGCATTGGCCTCAAGAATTGAAAAACACATTTAAACCACAGTTCTAACGGTACTTGAAATGCCACGATTGTCAAATGTGCAACGTGAACGTGCCGTTGGCATGTTGCAAGGGGAAGATCAGTTATTGACGTCGCAAGAGCAATGGGATGCAGCCGACGTACTGTGTATGACTTGCGAGGTCGTCTACAACAAACTGGCACCACTTCTGATCGCCCAAGGTCGGGTCGTCCACGTGTGACGTCACGAGTAGAAGACCGTCAAATCGTCCTACGTCACCTACGTGACAGATTTCTGCCGGCTACACGAACCAGGGCTGAGATGTTTAGAGGGCGACTGTCCTCACAGACCATTCATAATCGTTTGCGGGCTGCCAATCTCCATTCTCTACGTCCATATCGTGGGCCAATATTGACGCCGATTCATCAACGTCAACGTCTGCTGTGGGCCCAGCGTCACCTCCGATGGACCCAGAGAGACTGGAATCGAGTCGTCTTTAGCGATGAATCCAGGTTTACCATCAGTTTGGCGGACGGCAGGCATAGAGTCTGGAGACGACGTCGTGAACGGTATGCCCAATGTTGTGAACAGGAAGTCGACAGATTCGGGGGCGGAAGTTGCATGGTGTGGGGTGCTTTCTGTGGGAACAACCGTTCCCGACTTCTGGTCATCCGTGGAAACCTCACAGCTGCTGCTTACCGCGACCAGGTGCTCACCCCTGAACTCGTTCCTTTCATGGCGGCTCATGGCCCAGGTCTACAGTTCCAGCATGATAATGCTCGGCCGCATACCGCGATGTTGACACGAAATTTCCTTCAAAACGCTGGAATCAACGTCATGGACTGGCCATCGAGGTCCCCTGACCTTAATCCATTAGAGCACGTTTGGGATGCACTTGGGAGAAGGCTTCGTGGTCTTTGGAACCAACCTCAGAATTTGCAGGAACTTGGCGCTGCCTTGCAAGAGCAGTGGCGCAGAATCCCCAACCACGTGTTCACAAGCATCAGGCAGTCGATGAGGAGACGGTGTTTGTCAGTGGTGAATGCGCGGGGCGGCCATACACGATATTGAACTGAGAAATTTCGCATTTGTATTCTTGTGACTTGACATTCTGTATACCCATGTTTTGGAACGGCGGTGTAGCCTAATGGAACTGATTATGGCACTGTCAGTGTATCGAGTACATCACACAGTTCTCAGCAATGAAATTATAACAATTTAACCATCTTACCATCTCTTGTTCTTTTATAGTGCCCTGAAGAAAGAATGTGAAGTTTCTTTTTTGAGTCAGTATATTTGGTTCTGTCCACCATTGAGGACTAAGACTTTGTCTTTGGACTTTTAGAACTTCTCCTGTTGACAGTCTTTACGTCGAGGCCGATGAGCCATCTTTTAACCAACGCCGTATAAAATTATCCTTGCAATATATAACAAAACTATATTCTAACGAGTCAAATCCTACATTTAACTGTGTCTTTAATCCTCTTTAATCTGTGTCTTGTTCCGCCTCGCGCACTAAGAGTCAAACCTTTCATTTCCACTGCTGGCATTGAGCTAGAAATATATCTCCTTCCTGTTTGCTTTCTTCTCCCCTTTGGCAATTGGTTAGGCCAAAAGTTGACCTCACACTGACAACATTTAAAAAATCGGAAACTAATGAATTACAATATAAACAAGAATATAATCAATTAAAAAGTAAATATAATGCATACAAATCCCTATTTACAGATGGATCCAAGGATGGTGGCGCAGTGGCCTGTCATTCGATCCAGAACAATATCTTCTAGATTACTGACAATTGCTCCTGTTTTACAGCAGAAACCAATGCCATATTAACAGCGCCTAAATATATTAAAAAACACCCTAACCATAAACAATATATGATATTTTCAGACTCTCTCTCGTGGACATGCCCTTCGACTTCATGTTAGTTATATTCATTGATCATTGTCATGCTGGAATCCATCTTGATGAAAAAATATGGACAATTTTAGACTGGTGCGTTTTCAATGATGTTCAGTATATAATTCAATAATTTCATTTATAAGTGGATGTTTACAAGAATGATGTTTAATAGCATGCAGCCACGCCATGAAAAAAGCTCGAATTTCATTCTGAAATCATACTGACTGTGACATTAAAAGCAGGTGTATGAGAACCGATTCTCATTGCTTCACTAACGATTGTGAAACGAGGACAGAGATGCCGAGGTTAACACCTCACGAAAGAGAACGTGCACTAGGCATGATTCAGGTTGGCACCAGCAGCAGGGCTATTGCTCGACAACTTGGACTTGGCCACTCCACCATCGTTAGGCTTCATAGACGACATCAGTAGACAGGCAGCACCCGTGACCTTCACTGACCTTGGCAACAACGTGTTACGACGCTCCATCACGATCGCCATATTGACCTTGTCCATATCAGTGATTGAACACTGCCGACTGCCAGGACCGCTGCACTAGTTCAAGGTTGACGTGGGGGTCATCAGCGCTGACTCCATGCGACGCCGTCTACACGCTTAAGGGCTCCATGCTCGACGTCCTTACGTTTGACCAATTCTGACTGACAGACACCGTAATTAGCCTATACAATGGGCTAGCATGCATTTTCAGTAAAGGTTACAACAATGGGATGGTGTGGTAGTCACTGACGAGTCACGTCTTCATCTACGTAATGCTGACGGCCGATTACGTGTTTGGCGTAGACGTGGTGAACGTTATGCTGATGAGTGTGTGGTTCAGACAGGCGTTTGGGTGGTGGGAGTGTCATGGTCTGGGGTGGAATAAATTACAATCACAGGACTGCCTTCATGTCTGTCAAGGGAAAGACCTACCATGCGATATCTGGCCCAGCAACACATCCAGGTTATTCATTGGCCAGAACAGTAGCCAGATGTATCCCCCATGGAACACTTGTGGGACGAAATTGGTCAAAGTCTTTTGCGGCGACAACAGATGCGAAACATCCGGGAACTTGAGGCTGCACTACTGCAGAAGTGGAATGCCATCCTCTAGAACTCTATTTGGACGCTTATTGACTCAATGAGGAGACGTTAAACTGCATGTGTCAATGCAAATGGCGGTCACACGCGATATTGACTTTTAGATTTGACCCCACGTGTGTTTGATCCTTTCTGACTGTGGAACATTTCAGTGAATGAGCGTCTTTTCTGCGTTGTTGTTTTTGTCAGTCATCCATCTGTTATTATCCACTCAAAACATATCAATTCCTTACTCGTGCTTTTAATAATCTCAACTTTTATAAGTCTTGCAACTGGCCAATACATCGCCCTATGTTGGCTACCCAGCCATGTTGGAATGGCTGATCTTGCTGACATGGCAGCACTCAACAAATCTGTGACACCACTTCTTACTCTGATTGTAAAGCTTACACCAGATCTTAAGTCCGTTATCGGATGCAGAAAAAAAGCTGGACACCCAAGTAGGTATAAATAAATTACATGAAATAAAACCCCATATTGGTTACACCTACTTGGGTTGTCCAGATTTGAAGAGGTCATCATAGTTACGACGATGTATTGGCCACACAGGATATACGCATGAATATTTGCTTAAAAGTGAGGATCCCCCGTTTTGCATTCCTTATGATGAGGGAATCACGGTCAAGCACGTCCCGGCTTGACTGTATTGATTTTTCTATCACAAGAGAGAAATATTTTAGTGTCAAAACAATAAAGGATCTTCTTTATGGTATTAATTGTCATTTAATTACTGATTTTAAAATTAAATAGAGTTGTTGAAAAAATTTGTGTCAATGTTATGTAAATAGATAAATATTTTATGATTGGTAGTTTAAATTAATAACTGATATTGTTAGTGGCTGTATCATCGAAGGGGGTTAAAGTATCGTAAAATTATTGTCCTGAGAGGGTACGTAAGTCCCAAAGCAATTCAAGTAAATTCAAACATACTATAATACTATTTTTAATTGTAGTATATGTTATTTTAATTTATGGCTAGATTGTCAAATTGCTAACATCTGAAGGGATTGTTTAAATCCAACTGGGGTCCATGCCGGTAGCAAAGACACTGTAAGTCCCCATGGTCCCTAGTATGGTGATCTACGTTCAGTTGCTGGCAATCTATAGCCTGTTTATATATTATATTGTCATGTATAGTTAAAATACTTTAGATTTAATTACTAGGTTTCAATTTATATCTGTGATAGTCTACTGTCCTTCGTTGACAGGTGTTTATAATTTACTTTCAATTATTATAAATCTATAAGTTGATTTAGTCACGATATGGCTGAAATATTGCCGATGTGACTTAAAATCTTAACTGACTCACCCATGAAGATCCGGGTTAGAATTGGTTTTCAGCAAACCAATGCTTGTCGGAAAAGGGACCAGACGGGATCTTGTGGTCAGGCTCGCTGACATGGTTGACACATGTCATCAAATACCAATTGCGTATTGGTCGAGTCTTGATCATTTACAGACCACCGTCATACGGCTGGAATATTGCTGAGTGAGGCGTTAAACAACCAAATCCAAACCAAACAAATGAGAGTGCAGGTGATTCTGAGGTTTGAAATACTATGGGAGAGTTTTGGGAACTGGTATTTGTCTGAGAATGTTACTTCAATTTTCTGCATTAGTTCGGTTGTTTCTTGTTGTCCTTGTCTGAAGCGGTATCAGGATCTATACTTTCTTTTGCTTTTCTTACCCGTGAAGGTCCGGGTTAGAATATTGGCCTTCAGTAATCAATGCTTGTCGTAGGAGGCGACTAACGGGATCGGGTGGTCAGGCTCGCTGACTTGGTTGACACATGTCATCGATTCCCAATTGCACAGATCGATGCTCGTGCTGTTGATCACTGGATTGTCTGGTCCAGACTCAATTATGTACAGACCGCCGCCATATAGCTTGAATACTGCTGAGTGCGGCGTAAAACTCAACTCACTCACTCATTTGCTTTTCTTGTCACCATAACAGCATGCAAGTCTTTTGGATTCAGCTTTGTCTTAGTGACAGACTTGCTTTTCCCTTGACATCGCATGTTCATGTGCCCGAACCTTCAAGGCTTTAACCTCTTGGTATATTCCTTAAACCTATACCAAAACGGTACATAAACATGCGACAGTTGTAAATGTCAACCACGTGAGATGAGATAAAGTGTTTATAGTTGCTTTCAGGATTATTGTATTTACATACCAACAATCCACACCAAACACTGGCTTCATACATCATCAAACCAATGCTTATGACCTGCCCCAGTTATATCGAACAAAAATCAGTGTCCCGTTTGGTTCATTATAACCATAATTTACTGTATATTCAGTTGAATATTTTCGTAAGTAAATATGTGTACCTGAAGCAGGACCCTCTTGTAGCCGGTTTTGCCAATTCTGAAGCCAGTTTCCTTGTAGAGACACTGACCAGGTAGACCAACACCCCACAAGCCTATTAAGTCTTGACAAACAGGAGAAAACATCCCACAGTCTCCAGGACGGGACATGACGGGCGCTGCAAGGAAGGATACGATACCACCATTATAAACCAAACCAAGAATTGTAAGTTTTGGAACATTACAGTTGTGTATGTTTTCCAAACTGGTCAGTATAGTGAAGAATAAAATACCCAATATATGGCGGGAGTGGTGATGAAAATAGCATGTCCCTCATCATTATAAAGAGGCTTCCTGCTATGGCTGAAGTACGGTTTTCTGGACAGATAATCATCTTCTGACGCCCTAGCCAGCCACGAACACAAATGAAATAAAATAATATGTAACGAATATTTGTTCTAGCGAAACTACCAGTTTTGCTTTGTACTGTTGGTGAAAGTAAGATGAAGATCCAGGTTAGAATTGGTCTTCAGCAACCCATTCTTGTCGTAAGAGATTCATCTGTACCATGTATCAGTATATTATATCTGTAAACACATGTAAAAACCGACCACTATGGATTGATGTCTTTCTATTACCTAAATATCTGCACCCTTTACAAAGTTGCCTTCGCAAGATGTCAACAAAATATATTGATTTCCTAACACAGTAACCGTAACAATCAACTAATTTCTATAATGCATTCCGATGCATGCTGTGTATTTGGTAAGTGCTGAACGCGTGAATTATGACTGTATATCTCCCTGTCTTCTTCAACAGTGAGACGAGCGTATTTCCTTCAATTACCCATTGATGATTTCTTTTAAGATAATGTATTCACACACAATGTTGTTATATTATGAAGACCAATGATCCGTCAGTACATATATACAACGAGTAATACCATGACAATATAGCAGGGTCTCTATTGTGTCAACAGTGATGTTATGTCACTGGCAAAATTAAACAGTAAAGTGGGATAGGCGAAGAATTCTCTATGAACTGCTTTGTAAAGCTGACAGTTATCATAGTCACACGTATACCACAATGACTATAACCTGATATAAGGATAATATGGTGCGTCAATACATGCCACCATCACGACAGCCATAAAGGAGAATATGGTATAGGAATAAATGCACCATTCACGACAACTGTTACGCAGAATATGTGGCATGAATACATACCGCCATCATGGCAGCCAAAACAGAGAATATGGTGCATGACGTCAGCGTTGTCAATTTCCGGTTTAGTGGCAATCATGTGGTAATCTTGTGATTCATCCAGGTCAAAGGTCATGCAAACGTAGGTGGTTTTGTTGGCTGGAACTGCTGTTCGTGGAAACCTCAGAACCCGTTTCTGGACACCTGCAACACACTATCTCATACAAAATCTCTCTGTCTCTGTCTCTCTCTCTCTCTCTCTCTCTCTCTCTCTCTCTCTCTCTCTCTCTCTCTCTCTCTCTCTCTCTCTCTCTCTCGCGGACGGTGGGGTAGCCTAGTGGTTAAAGCGTTCGCTCGTCGCGCCGAAGACCCGGGTTCGATTCCCCACATCGGTACATTGTATGAATCCCATTTCTGGTGTCCCACGCCGTGATAGTGCTGGAATAGAATATTGCTAAAACGGCGTAAAAATAAACTCACTCACTCACTCTCTCTCTCTCTCACCTTTTTCTGTGACTGCAGGGCAGTTAAATATACTACTTTCACATGGAGCTGTGACAAGTCCATCACATGTCTGGCTTGAAGATATATCACAATAGCCTGAAATGAGTTCAGCGAGTGAGTTAAAATTTTAAGTCACTTTGGGAATATTGCAGCCATATCGTGACTAAACAAGTTATAGATTAACAATAAGTAAAGATAGATTATAAAATCCTGTCAACCAAGGACATTTAAACAACTATACAGTATAGAACATCACAGATATAAATGTAAAACTAGCAATTAAATCTAAAACATCTTTACAACAGAGGACAACACAATATAAACATGGGCTATAGATCGCCAACAACTGAGGGTAGATGACCATACCAGGGACCATGGGGACTTACAGTACCTTTGCTACCTGCATGGACCATAGTTGGATATAAACCATCCCTTCAGCCGTTGGCGATTGAAATGAGTTCAGTGGTCGTAGAAGTATTACATAACAAACAGAGGTGAAAAAAACCCCTTTCTCATTCAAGCCATGCGCCGCCGCATCACACATATGCCAAGTGTGAAATCAGTCTGTGAGCTGTCATGTATGAATTTACTACCTTCAAATCATTAAAGATATTCACTGCCTTCCATTATGTACGCAGATAATGGGACACTTTCAGATTTCAGCAGATACAAGTCTGTTTGAACTCAAGATGTACACAGTAAAGTATAAAATCCAGCAATATCCTAAAATGTACATCTGCACATTTGTTATGAGCAGTGATGAGACAATTTTCAGATCGTTAAGAGAGAGAAACCTAAACATGAGTATAGATATGCATGAAAAGAGAAGCGGTGGGACACCTCCCGATTGTCAAAACATACAAGCCTAGCGTGGGATAAACATGGGTATAGATATGTATGAATAGAAAAGCGGTGGGACACCTCCCGATTGTCAAAACATACAAGCCTAGCTTGGGATAAACATGAGTATAGATATGTATGAATAGAGAAGCGATGGGACACCTCCCGATTGTCAAAACATACAAGCCTAGCGTGGGATAAACATGAGTATAGATATGTATGAAAAGACAAGCGGTGGGACACCTCCCGATTGTCAAAACATACAAGCTAGCGTGGGATAAACATGAGTATATATATGTATGAATAGAGAAGCGGTGGGACACCTCCCGATTGTCAAAACATACAAGCCTAGCGTGGGATAAAACAGCACATATCTGTGTATACAACGCGGAGTGGTGGGACAATTAATAAATAACCTTCTACAAAGGCGTGATTTACACTTTATTAACTGTCAAATATATTGAGAAGTTCGTCCTCACTGTCCTCGCACAATTACAGTGCAGATTAACATAAACAATGGTTCCATGTAATTTCAAACCAACTTTGTTGATTAATGTAATATATGTATATATAACTGAAATTTGTTTCAACCTTTGAGACGAAGACACAGTATAAGTTGTATGATTCTCTCGAGGTTAATACGGTCTGATGTACACCTGTTTGTAGCAATGTCACCCGAGCCGGTAGGCGGTTACCGTGGAAGCGGGTAATATTTTTTCCAATTGTCATCCTCCTGGGAGGGGTGACATGGCAATTTGTTGAAGCGTCATTGACCAATGACTGAGTGAGTGAGTAAGTTAATATTTAACGTCACATCGGCAATATGGCATCCATATCGTGACGAAAACAATTTATACAATAAAAATGAAAACATTTTGAAGAGTAAGACTTACATTACTTTTGCTACCTTCATGGGCCCTAACTGGATTTACACCATCCCTTCAGCCATTGGCGTTTATGCTGAGATTTAGCCATACATTACAATAACAAAAATACTACGATTAAGAACCTGGTAGACTTAAACTCACTTGAAATGTTTTGGGACTTAAGTACCATCTCAGGAGCACAATATGTTTGCGCTATGTCAACCCTTCGAAGGTACAGCCACTCACAAATTCAGTTTCTAATTTAAATCACCAATACTAAAAATGCATTTATCTACAAAACATATGAATCAAAATTCATCTATCAGTTATATTTCTTTTAAAAATTCGATATTAAAATGATAATTAACGTTATTAAAAAGATCCTTAACAGTTTTTACTTTGAAATATTTATCCCTTATGATGGAAAATTCAACACAGTCAAGCAGGACATGCTTGACCGTTGTTCTCTCATCACAAGGGATGAAAAACGGAGGATCTTCACCTTTAACACGTATTTGTGAGTATAACGGGTATGGCCAATACGATATCGACGCATAATGACCTCCTCAAATCTCGACTGACAACCCTAGTAGGTGTAACCGATAGTTGGTGTAATTTCATACTGGAAACTGGGTAACGGAAACACACTGGAGCCATACTGGAAGCTGGGTAATTTGTAAGTTTCCGCTTTCCGGAAACTTGAAAGAAATGTAGAGAAACAGTCCGGAAACCTAATTGAAACTTAAGTTTCCATTTTGTTTCCGTTAGGTTTCCGTTGTCCGGAAACCAAGTTATTTTTGCTGTGTGGGTGTCCCACTTCTTTTGCATTAAATCACGGATGTACGATCTAATGACAGCTTTGTAATCAAAGTATGGAATGAGAAGTGGTGTCACAGATTTGTTGAGTGCTGCCTTAGCAGCAAAATCGGCCATTGTGTTCCCAGAAATTCCAGCATGACTGGGTAACCAACAGAGGACGATGGTCGTATTGGCCGGTTGCCAGATCATTATATAAGTCAACTATTTTAATTAAAAGTGGATGTTTACAAGATAAGTTTTTAAGAGCCTGAAGGCAAGAAAGAGAGTCAGAAAATATTATATATGGTTTATATTTAGGATGTTTATAATATATTGAAGAGCCGTCAATATAGCGTTGGCTTCTGCTGTAAAACTGTGATCTCGTAAACGAGAGGAAATTGTTCTGGATACAATGACAGTGACACAAGCCACTGCGCCACCATCCTTAGACCCATCTGTAAATAAGGATTTGTATGTATTATATTTACTTTTTAATTGATTAAATTCTTGTTTATATTGTAATTCATTCGTTTCTGATTTTTTAAATGTGATTCATCTTAGGTCAACGTGTGACCTAACAAACTGCCAAGGAGGAGAAGAAAGAAGACGGGAGGGAGATATGTTTTCCAGCTCAATGCCGGCAACAGAAATGAATGGTTTAATTCTGAGCCCAAGAGGCAAAACAAGAGAAGGTTTCTTGTTGTATAAATCCTCATAGAGGGGATTGAAGACACAGTTATGTGCAGGGTTAGATTCGTTAGAGTATAATTTTGTAATATATTGTAAAGCTAATTTGCTACGGCGTTGTGTAAGAGATGGCTCATCTGCCTCGACGTAGAGACTGTCAACAGGAGAAGTTCTAAAAGATCCAAGACAAAGTCTCAGACCATGTTGGTGTACTGAATCTAATAGGTTTAGGTTGCTTTTGCAGGCTCCACCATATACGATGGAGCCATAATCAAGTTTGGAGCGGAAAAATGATCTATATAGGTGAAGGAGGGTAGTTTGATCCCCCTCCCCACTTTGAATTAGAAACTACTTTCAGTAAATCGAGTGCTTTAAGGCTAATTTTTTTTAGGTATTTGATATGCGGAAGGAAAGTTAAATGGGAGTCGAAAATTATGCCCAAGAACTTGGCTTCTTTGACAACTTTGATGGGAGTGTCATTTAAAGATAGTTCTGGGTCCTTATGCGGCTTATATTGTCTACAAAAGTGTATGCAATTAGTTTTTGACTTAGAACATTTTACGCCGTTTTCAAGACACCATTTATTTAAACACAACTGCAGTTGCCGTTCAATTAGTAAGCATATTTTTACCACGACAAGAAATATTAAAATCATCCACAAAAAAGTGATCCATCAATTGAATCATTTAAAACCTTTGATAAACTGTTGATCTTGATAATAAACAAAGTCACAGGCAACATGTTGCCTTGTACGACACCCTGATTCTGATTATAATGATCAGACAGGGTTGAACCCACGCGGACTTGAAATTGTCTGTCATTTAAGAATTTGGCTATAAATTCAGGCAAACTGCCTCGCAATCCGAAGCCATGTAAATCTTTTAAAATGCCACATTTCCACATATTGTCATATGCTTTTTCAAGATAAGAAAAGATAGACACAGCGTGTTGTTTATTAAATGGAGCGTTTTTAACAAATGATTTCAAACGCACTAAGTGATCGACAGTACATCTGTTTTTACGGAAACCACATTGTATATCTGTTATAAGGTTATTTGTTTCCAAGTGCCAAACTAGTCGATTATTTATCATGCGTTCCATCGTTTTGCAAACGCAGCTAGTTAGTGAAATTGGTCGATAATCTGACGGATCGGTATGATCACGTCCAGGTTTAGGTATTGGTACTATTATAGCGTCATGCCATGAGGAAGGAAATTTCCCTGACGTGACAATATCATAAAAAATATGTAAGAGCGTCTCTAAACATGAATCTGGCAAGTGCTTCAGGAGTTGATAATGTATGTTATCAGCTCCTGAAGCAGTATGGTGAGCTTGGTCAAGAGCAGTATGAAGCTGATATCGAAAAGGTTTAGTTGTAATCTTCCCCATTATTTGAATAGAAATTAATAGCTTTCTTTTCTTGCTGTTTGTGATTTTGGAGTTTTGGAATTCAGGTACATAATTAGATGAGGAAGAATGTTTGGCCAATGTTTCATCAAGTTTATTTGCCATATCTGATCTATTAGTCAATAATTGGGTCCCATCTTTCAGATGGTGAATGCTAGATTTAGAAAGCCCTTACCTTGATCTTCTAGATCATATTCCACACCTTTGATATCGGTGTGCGCGAATTAATTTTTGAAACGTAGTTTCGCCAAGAGTGGCGTCTACTTTGCTTGAAAGTACGCCGAGTTTTAGCGTTTAAAATATAGTTTGTCAGCAGAGAGAATTTTATATAAAGGCATGTTAGCCTTTTAAAAACTCCATCTAGATGATGGAGGAATATCAGATGGATTCACGGGTTTTAGTATTGTTGGGAAATGGTCACTCACTCACTCACTCACTCGTCGTGGGCTGACCATTCAAATTCACTCAATAGGATGGAGTCAGTAATAGACAAATCAAGAGCTGAATATGTTCCTTTGCTAGGATGTAAATACGTATTTGAGCCGTCATTATATATGCATAGTTCATTATTTGAAATAAATTCCTTCAGTAATTTACCTTTGGTGTTTGTATTAATGCCACCCCAGAGCGGGTTGTGGCCATTTAAATCACCCATGGTTATACGGGGTTTAGGTAGTTGATCATAAAGAGCTTGCAGATCGGTTAGTTGAACAGCCGATGAAGGCGGAATATACACAGAGCATAAGGTAAAAGCAACCTGTAATGTAAGTCGAACTGCAACAACTTGAAGATTTGTTTTAAATGGAACTGAGCTATGGATGATATTGTTCCTCACCAGGATTGATGATCAACCAGAAGCTCTATCACCCGGAGGAGAACAAATCATCAGATTCGGGTGAGCGTTTTTTAAGTGGGGGTGCCATGATAGAAATATATATGATTCATCCTCCTAGCTCCCCACCCACCATGGAGTGTCAACAAAGACGATGTCTCATGTCTGCTGGTCTCAAACAGACGACATCAGGGATACTAGGAGGGTACACTCAAGCAGGAAAATATCTTGAAACGATAGATCCTACCACATTGGCCCATGAGCCACCGCCTTTTGGCATTGAACTCCAGGCAAATTAGCAAATCATTAATTTATGTTATTGTCAAAACTTAATGGCCAAAACAGCATACATTTCAAAATTCCAAATATGTGCATACATGCTCACCATGCACAGGGCTTGGCGTGACCAGCCGACTGATAGAATCGGGCCAATATTACTACCCCTCTAGGTGAAATAAGGGGCGAAGTGGCGTGTTGGGGCAAAGGAACGCTATTCCTGGAACCAGTGCCCTCAACCACCAGACTCCCGTCCTCCACCGACACTGGGGGGCACAAATGTACATACCTGGGTGTGTGAGACCAGCGGTCCGTGTGGGCGTGGCTCCAAGGGTCCAGATGCACTGGGGGTCACCCAGTTCCTGACCATTGGTCATTCCATCACCATCGGAGTCCATGTTACACACATTAGCCCACTGTATGGACAGAGAGGATTTCGGTGAAATACTTCCTAATATGTTGACAGGGGTGACCTAGTCGTCTCAGGTGAAGCAACTGACGTGAGATAGCGTGAGTTCAAAAGCCAGATTCGCTTCGATTGTGAACCTTGGTTTGTTACTGTCATGCCCCTGTTTTGGCATAAAACGAGTGAAAACTATCCAAGGTCTAGCTCTGGGAAGTTAACTTGCTGCAAATTCTGTTTGTTTTTGTTTAAGGCCACATTCAGCAATACTCCAGCTACGTGGCGGCGGTAAATAATCGAGATCAGACAATCAAGTGATCAACATCATGACAATCGATCAAAGCAGTTAGGATACGATGCCATATGTCAACCAAAACCAACCGATTCCAACAGTCGCCTATGACGACAAGCTTGCGTTGTTGAAGATCTAGCCACGATCTTCACAGTTTATTTAATTTTGTAAAAAGAGTTAGATCAAACTGTTCCTATGAGGCTGGGTGTAATGGGTGTGTTGACGGGTGTGTTGACGGGTGTGATGGATGTATTAAAATTTACTACTTTCACATGGAGGTGTGACAAGTCCAGCACATGTCTGGCTTAAAGATGTGTCACAATATCCTGAAACGTGTTCAGTGAGTGAGTGAGTTACTATTTAACGTCACATCGGCAATATCTCAGCCATATCGTGACGAAAACAATTTATACAATAAAAAGTGAAAACATGAGTAAGATTAAAACCTGTCGACGATGGACAGTAAAACTACTAGAGAATATGAATATTCTCACAGATATGAATATAAAACTAGCGAGCACGGGTGTGTTGACGGATGTGTTGACGTACTCATTTTCACGTGAAACAATATTTGAGAGGTTCGATAAAGATACAAAAGTGGGAAAATAGCCTAAAAAAGTAGACTTTAGCTGTAATTAACCCATTTAGCCTTCCAGCCAATGCTTTATTTTACAAACTAATTAATTATTTTCATTCAGTTCTGCTGTGAATAGCAAAATCCTAGTTTTCATGCTCCAGTCAACAGGTCTATCTAGCAAAGAAAACGTTAGTATTTTCTCACCTTTCTGCCTTGATTTGCAAAATCTACACCGAACTGATTTCTGTCGCCTCCACCCGCGGGTTTCACGTGCCCAATCCCCTGCCACATCTCCCCTTCACACAAGGGTGGGTCAGGTTGTGGCCATTGGGTATGCGGTCCCTGTACCCGCCATACCCATAGATCACTCCAATACATGTGAGGAAAGCGGACAGACTGGAGGGAAATGAAACAGGTATAGATGAACACTCAAATTATATGTTTTACGATTTAAATAACAGCAATTTGGATAAAAGTACACACGTAGACGTTTTCTAAGGATTATGTCTTGAGGACTAAAAGAAACGGTCCCCAAATAAAGATTGCAATATACCGGAATGACTGGCCTGTGTAATCCCCACTGAACCTCATCCTGTGCTGAGCGGGTAGAGGCACACAGTCAGGGGCAGAATGTGTACGAGGTGTTTGAAAACCGGTGCTTTGATAATGAAGAATTCGTCAGATGTCTTGGCATGCTTGAAGCTGGGTCTAAAGAAAGTCACGTTGTAAACGCCTTTGGTGTCAGCAAAAGAATGAACAGTATGCCTTGGAGTCTGTACGAGACGCTTTGATGATTTACCCGGCGATATGCAGGTGGTCGACAACGTTCCAGCGTTAAGAGTGAGTGAGTGTGTGAGTATGGTTTTACGCCGCTTTTAGCAGTATTCCAGCAATTGGGACTGGGACACAAGAAATGGGCTTTACACATTGTGCCCATGTGGGGAATCGAACCCGGGTCTTCGGCGTGACGAGCGAACGCTTTAACCAGTAGGCTACCCCACCGCCCCTCCAGCGTTCAGAAATAGAATTCTCATAGCAGCAAGACGTTATCAGTGAGTTTGCTATCACACTCAGAAATGGCCCTCGGAAAAGTTGGACATGTGGATTTATCTGTATGCTGTCTACCCTTTACAGATAGTGTTTGACACAGACAAAGACTTCATAGCTCCAACGCAGCAGAACATGACCGCTGTGGAGAGGGTTCAATCATATTTCAGTAGCACTGAATAAACCGTCCTCCATATCCTTAAGTGGAGCACGACGACATGACTGCAATACAGGGATGACATTCTTGATGTGCACGAGCGATCGTCTGCAGGTGCTATCAGACCGAATACCAAGGACGATAACGCACTACCTCCTCAATGCGGTTAATGCCTTCTAATAGCTGGAGAACATTGTCCCAGTGCAATCACTGGACCTGATCGTCAACTGAGCACATGTTGACAGACCAGGTCTTCCGACACGTCCTCGGGAACTCGACAATGCTCTGAATGGGGTACGTATTTGGGAGCATTAGACGAAAGTGCCAGACTGTGACTGCATAACGATGAACCATGGATTTGTTTTAGCTTTTTCTTATTTTCATGTTTTAAACAGATTCTTTTATTTTGACATGCGGTCTGAGTTATAAATGGTCGAATGTTATTGGCATATTGTTACACATGACAACATACTTTGTCCATTAAAACTGTCCACACGCAATATCAGCCTTGTTTGTTTAATTCTTAAAGCAATAAATTGCAGTAATACAGGCGAGATGTGAAGAAAGCATGGATGAGTGTTTTTATTGCTTCTTTACAAATGTCGGGTCGGATCTGACTAATGTTACGCACGTAATAATATGCCGTCATGCATACAATATCTATATGACCCTCAGTCCTCAGAGCAGAATGGAAGATAACTACAAAACTCCGTGTTCGGTCACTTGAATTGACAGTTCACTCTCCGATTTGTAAAGTGGAGGCTAATATTCCAGAGAGCAATTGTCTAGAGCAAATTATAACGAGTTGTCTCGTCATCGTTTTACTTTAGTCTGTTAGTCGACATCCAGAGCCTTATATCTTCTATGCATGATGATATCATTATAGAAGTGCATGTTATTGATGTGTGAACGTTAGGTCTGAAGCAAAGGTACAACTGCGCATCACCTGTATAGCAGTAGCTTACCTTACAGCCCACATGTTGATGCTAGTCCAGCTGCACCGACAAGCTTTTGACGGGTTTGTGTTGTCGACAGCTAGTTACGGTGCAGTGGTAGAGTATCGACTTGTATGGAGGAACTCGCTTGTTCAGTGAGCAGAATCACTAAAGTGCAATTTAGTTGTGTCGTCAGGGGGAGCCTCAGCAGTGACTTTGGAAGCGCAACGGAGCCAAAAGTAGCACCAAACTGTAGCAAACTGTAGCACAAAACTGTATGTTTCGTTTAATTATTGAGTGTATGGATTTTATCGTTTCGTGAAGTATGTTGAATGGCATTTTTCCTCAATATGAGACAGGGCCTAGATTTTCGAAGCTCTCCCTAGCGCTAAGATAGTCGTAAGTGCCATAGATTAACATTAACTTACGACTATCTTAGCGCTAAGAGAGCTACTTCGAAAATCTAGCAGTTAGTGAGGCCAAAAGATTATCCACACTGACAAAGTTATTAAAATCAGAAACTAATAAATTACAATATAAACAAGAATTTAATATATTAAAAAGTAACTATAATACATACAAGTCCTTATTTACAGATGGGTCCAAGGATGGTGGCGCGGTTGCTTGTGCCACTCACTGGATCCAGAACAATATCTTCTCGATTACCAGATCACAGCTCACAGCTGAAGCAAACGCCATATTGTCAGCCTTAAAATATATTAATAAACACCCTAGATACAAACAATAAATAATCTTTTCAGACTATCTTTCTTCCCTTCAGGCTTTAAAAAAAATCTCTTTTGTAAACATCCACTTTTAATCGAAATACAATTGCCATGTTGGAATTTCTGGTAGCACAATGGCCGATTTTGCTGCTAAGGCAGCATTCAACAAATCTGTGACGCCACTTCTTATCCCATGTACTGATTATAAAGCTGTTATTAGATCGGATATCTGTGATCTATTGCAGAAATATAATTCAGTGTTAAAAAGTTAAGCAACACAAATATTTAATCTCATTACATTTCCATTTATTGAAATTGAAAATCATGGAATGATGCAATAGAAAGGCGAAACATATATACAAAAGATTAACAAAATGAAATAAGATGGTATAGAGCAATAATAGACTTACACGTCAAAAGCATGTACCCGTCAAACAGTCGGGCAAAATGTTCTGCATTGATGGAGCAAGATGTTAACATTAAGGTCCAAGTCAGTTTTGGACAGTGAAGCAGTGTTCAGTAACGCATATGACCACCATGAGCACAAATGCAAGCTCCTATACGTCTTTGAATTGACCAAATGAGCCTTTAATTAGGTTGCTGTTGTGGACTGTTCTGCCGTTCTCTCTGTAACGCCTGCTCAAGTCTGGGGTAGATCATGGAGACCGTAAACACGACTACCAAAAAATGTCCCAAGCATGTTCAGTGGGATGAAGATCAGGTGACCTTGCAGACCAGTCCAAATGCGTGATGTTGTTGATTTAAACAACATCCTTAAACTCTTTCTCAAGCATTATCATCCATGGACGGGCATTATCATCAATGGATGGGCATTATCATCCATAAAAATGAAGTTAGCACCCGATTTTTTTGCACCAGAGGAATGATTACAGGTAGGTTTACACCGATCAGCGTGCATGTGTGAAGAGCACATTCATGCCAAACATTTTGCATGTCGTTTCCGAGGGTGGTTGTGTTTTGGTGATGCTGTCAATGTTATCAGATAAATCAATTTGACAGTCACTTAAGGTTATGTATTCTTTAAATATTTACCTTTCAGTAACATGTCGGCAAAAATCGCTGTCGAGATTGATAAAGTTATGACACTGAAAATACTTGCTGCATAATGTTTTGTGAGGAGTATGGATACACTGAAGACTGTGTTAACCGGCGAAGATCCTCCGTTTTGCATCCCTTGTCATGAAAGAATCACGGTCAAGCATGACCTGCTGGTCTGTATTGATTTTTCCATCTCAAGGGACAAATATTTAAAAACAGTCAGGGATCTTTTTTATCATGTTAATTATCATTCAATAATTGCTTTTTCAAAGAAATAGAATTTTACATAAATTTTGATACGTTTTGTAAATAGATAAATGTTTTATAATTGGCAGTTTAGATTATCAATTGAGATTGTTCAGGACTGTATCCTCAAAGGGGGTTAAAGTACTGTAAAATTATTGTCCTGAGAGGGGACGTAAGTGGTTTTAATTTTGGCTAAACTTTCCCTACAACCGCCAGCGGGTGAAGGGATGGTGTAAATCCAGCTAGGGCCCATGCAGGTAGCCAAAGTACTGTACGTCCCCATGGTTCCTAGTATTGTCATCTATCTTAAGTTGTTGGCGATCTACAGCCCGGTGTTATGTTGTATCGTCTTCTATAGTTGATATATTTTAGTTTTAATTACTAGTATTTAATTTATATCTGTGATGGTCTAGTTGTTTCACTGTGCTATGTTGACAGGTGTTTAAAATTTACTTTAAATTATTATAAAACTATAACATGATTTATTCACGATACGACCGAAATATTACCGATGTGACATATTCTTAACTCACTAACTCACTCAAGTTTAGGTTTCATTACACTTTTAGTACCACAAGGAAATAGTTTGTTTTCCTGAAATGCGGGTGATATTCTCAAACCATATATAGCAATTTTCGTACTCTGATTCATCCACGAAGGAACAGTATCTCAAAAAATTATTTTTCATAAGAGTGTAAATCTGGCCATTGTCTGGCATGTGCAACAAACATATTTGCTGTGAATGTAGGACATGGAGTTTAATATCCTTTAAATCTCGTATGATCAGGGTTAGGTTTGCCATATACTTCATTTCCTTTAAATGTGTTACAATATTTTGGCTAGAAATTTGTGTAAAAATCTCTTATAAATAATTAGAGACATTAAAATATGTTTCACGTATGAACGCAGTATCTACAAAATCTAAAAGTATGTGTTTTATGACAAGGAATAGACATAGGAGCATCATCTCCCTTTAAAAGAAAAGAATGAATAAAATGTGGAATTTCTATACGACATAGTCTCTAAATAACATCATGTCTTCGATAGTCAGCAGTGATGATATTACCACTTATGATTGGTTTATTAACATTTAACCTGTCCGTAGATTGTTTATCCCAATACTACTGCCAACTTTGATGAATGTATTGCCTTTAACACATAACATGCTTGCAATAAGTATAAGTAATCTTGGCGAGTGTTACTGTTTGTTCAAGAGTAGCCTTTGCTGGAGCATCAGCTCTACTGTTTTCTGGTATGCCAACATGGCTTGGAAGCCAACAGATAATAATATCATTATCGTCTACTGATAATTTCAGGTGCAGGTCTAAAATCTCAGCCAGGAAAGGGTTAGTCAAATGTCCGACCATTTATTGCTTGCAAGCAGGAATTAGATACATGAGTTCTACATTGTGGAAAGTGTAAACATGCCCATTCTTGCTATAACCTCTTTTTTTTATTGCGAACCCTGGCATGATCTAATACAAAGCTTTCTCAAATTTCAGTTACCCGCCTAAATATACCCCCATTTTGACAATACCTACTGTAAATCAACAAACTAATGCGTGTATTAATTAATGCGAGTGCAAACCTCAAAACGAAAATACGTGCATTTATTAATGCGAGGAGGCAAATCAGGAAATGGTTGACCAGAATGACTATACTCACTAATGACTACACTCACAACTTTGGGAAATACTATACTAGTATTTAATCCGACTCTAGTGTAAACATCTTAATTCCCCGAACACATGGGCGTTTGGATCAAAGACGGCTTTCCTTTCAATTGTTAGTACTAGTAATTGACAGTAGATAGGATGATCTCAGTTTGTGACATTTCAAACTCAAATAGCCAATAGTAGTAGCATACAAAAGCGTTTGGAGGATGTATCATGCAGCATACTCCAGTATTTGGATTCATATCTGGGATAGAAAATATGTCGACAATATCAACTGGCCTCTGTAGAAGTCGAACCTCACTGAGGGAATTTTCAAGTTACATATGGTCACTATCAGCTATTCAATACACGCACAGAAATTGGTATAGATCTTGGTAGACAAGCTGGATGCATTAGCAACAGGTTTTGCACGTAAAACCTTGAAATCGTATATGCATATTGACAGTAGTGGGTGACCTCGCCTGGATGGATAAATATCACGCCAACAGTCGTTCATTTTCCGATTTCAGTATGTCGCATGACTACGTTTTCAGTCAAGAGTAGAGAGTGTATGAACTGACATCGTGGAATTGTCTCACGAGAATCACTATATTCATCGGCCGATGAACGTCAACAACACAAAATCAGCACTAAATTATTGACAGACTTCGCCTAGATGAACACTACCAAACCGGCTGTCGTCAAGTTCATTGTTCCAAAAGACATTATGAAGTCACCAGCTGTGATCAGCATAGCGTGAAGGATGAAGGATATATTTTGCTTGCACAGATCTATATTATCTATTTTTCCAAAATACGACTACTAATATCAAAAAGAATTCAGGGTGTTTAAAGTACGCTCCCCTCCCTGTACGAGCCACATTCGCTGTGTATCGCTGGGACCTTAGACATGCCAGTGGTCTCTCTCTTGCTCCAAACCTTCCGCCATACACTTTCTGCAATGCATTAGTCCAAAATGAAGCCAGTATGGACTCCCACTGGTTCTGAATCTCCAAGCTCACCGGGACTAGCAATAGCACCAGAGTGATCTATTTCTATCAAAATGTCCTGTTTTCAGAGACTTAGCGCTTTGTATAACGTGCCAGGATACTGTAATTATGGATTGAAACATGCTTTTGGGTTTTTCAAGACCATACCGATGTTTCTGATTTTCTCTCATTTTAGACAACTGTTTTAACATTCAATATCCAACTTGCACGCTGTGTAGTCTTTTTATAGCATCTGTTTTGTTGTTGTTGTAAGTTTGTGTGTGTGTGTGTGTGTGTGTGTGTGTGTTGTTGTTTTTTGCATTTATATGGACATTGTTTCACTTAGGCCATTAACGTTACAGTAAGGGAGAGATGAAAGGGAATATAATATCGTTCCGATTTGTCTTTTGTCTTCTATCAGTAATCGGATTCATGTCACGGCTTGAAACTTTACAATATTCTTCCTGATGGTCTGAAAGGATTGAGGGTAGGTTTAAAAGATACCCGGTATCTCTATTACTTCTATACTGTCTTAACTTCTCCTTATACGTCCGTCATATACATGTCAAGTTCGTAAAAGCCTGGTCGAAGTAGAAAAGTCTAAAGACTATCCACTACAGATCTGTAACGGTATAATTTAAATATGTAGAGTTTCCATTTGCCGAGGTTTCTTCAAGACGTGGGTGGCCGCACGCTCGAGGTCTGGAACTTTGTTGATGATTTGGGCAATTCTTGAATTGGCAGAGTCTTGAGATGTGTTCGAAACAATCATCGTATAGGTATATAGTTTTGTAGGAAGGGCACACTAACTTATCTTGGAAGGATCCCCTGTGTTTATTCAATGTGTACACTGACAATGGAGTCGGGTTTGCTAATATTGGCGAGCCTAACCACCCAATCCCTTTAGTCGCCTCTTACGACACGCATGAGTTACTGAAGATCAATATTCTAACCCGGACCTTCACGGATATTCCAGCGCAGATGCAACTGTGCCAATCGTAGACGTTCATTACCTGTGCCAGAATCGCCCGAACATCAGGACGTCGGGCACGAAGATGGGCAGCGCGGAAGTAGTAGTGACTTAGCCGACTTTTATTGCCCTCGGCATGTAACGTCACCGTCACACGTGACCGTCCTGACCTGGCACGATCAGATTTCGTACTTGCCAGCCTGGAGCATGTAGATTGCCCCTTTACATTCAACATTTGTAAGGCGTGACATGATTATTATTTATCTCTCAATTAGAAGGTAAAGCTACTCTGTTTTCAATTTTGCGTTCCTTTATCGTTGATTTAAGACCGCTAAATGTAATTTAAAAACCGAACGCGTTAGCGGTCTTAAATCAACGATAAAGGACCGCAAAATTGAAAACAAAGTATCTTTATCTTCATTCTAGCACGACAGATAAGCATTTTAAAACCGCACTCTTTGGAGCGCAAGAACAGAAGGCGTGAAGTGGCCTTTTTCCTGGAAATTGCTTGGAATCGTCCTGTTGAGGGACAGGTTGTGTAATGAACAAAATAAGACATTTTCAACAACACAATTTGCTTTATTTCAGGAACCAGTATGGTTCCAGTATGTAACAAGTATGTAACCAGTATGTAACAAGTAGCATAAATAGATAACAAAATATACAGTTTATACTGTGAGCAACTACAGTTATTTGATTTTCTTAAGTGAATTATTCACCTCCCCTTCTGTATCACAATCGACCCGCACCATTCAAGTTATGAATTCGCAAAGTTTACTCACCGCTAACTTTATTCATGGAAGTCATTGTTAATAACGACGCTACTATTCCCAGTCTGGATAAGACCCGACATACCAGCTTTTATGTGGGAAACCTGCACAGTGGAAGTGGAAGTTGAAGGACTGGGCATTACGGCGGGGACGGAAGCGGATAGGTTAGGACGTGTGTTGTTGATGTCATGTCCGCTAGACCCAGTTTGAAGTATGGCGCCTATGCGCTGCTGACGAATCAGTGTTATATGAGGACAGACTCTGGCAGTTTTTGTGCCCAGTTATCTTAACTATTTCCCTTGCTTCCACCCAAGCATGTAAAGGCAGTGTAACGGTGGTGGGTCTAACACAGTGATATGTGTAGACCCGACTCAACTCGCAACTGGCCGAGATCCGTTTCATCATCGTTTTCAGTGTGTTGTGACCGAGGGGCTTACTTGTGTACCAAACGTCATCATTCTCACACACATTCTTACGAGGCAGCTGAAAGAGGGCATCACTTTCTGGATTTAACTTGGACATGTACTTTCGAAAGGATACAACAGGACAGAGGGGAGTTCCTGTCGCGTATATACGTGGCTTTGTGTACTCGGAATCTCCGACGCCCCCAGGATGATTTTTCGTGGATTCGCTATGTGCCATGAATATGAATTCACAGCCAACATCGTCTGTTTCGACAACAAAGGAATGAACAGACAACTCCCTCTGGTTCTCACAGCCCCTTCGTCCAAACCCTAGGGTCAAATCAAACCACACTTTGTTTTGAAGGTCTACAGGGTAGCTAAATCACCATCTGAAATGGCATTGTGATGTGCTGGATTATCAAGACCAAACTGCTTTACTTTTTGTAACATTGCTGCAAAAACGGCGTTGGCCGAGTGAAATTCTTTGTCTTGAAGAATGTTAATGTTCATGTTAAATGGTGGCTGTCTAAGGTGTCTGTGGATCGCTGCTCGGATTCCCACATACGATGACTTGGCATAATAATTCCCGTCGGAAGTTCGGACTTCAGCGTAGAATCGCTTCAGCAGAGCGTTCATTTCATCAACTGGAAGTGTCTCAAACTCGGGAGAGAGTTCGTGAAATTGTAGCCACTCTGGAAATATATTTTAATTAAAAAATATAATTTATGTGCGCTTCAATGTTTTAATATCATTTTGTTAAAAGGTAAGTAACAACTTTATTTAACATGTTCAAGATGATTTACATCACCCTCGTTTATCATAGGATATGTTAGGCCAAATCTTGATAATTTTGTTGATTTAAAAGGATAGTCTTTGCTCTTATGTTTCAAGATTTTTACTCCCCACGCAGTTGTTTGAAGGGTGGTTTTGCTCCTCGAATCCAAAACAATACGTTCCAGATCATTGTCGGTCACTGTTTTGAAACGCTTGGTAGCAGGTTCATTTTTGATATCTAAAACAGTAAAATGGTAAATTTGAGTGAAATATTTACTTATGAATAAATTAAACTGCCGTTAAATTTCGTAATAATTTATTGTTATGCAAGGAAACATTTCGTACAAAACAAGAGATAAATTGAGGAATATTTTCTGTCCATTTTTTTCTTTCCTATTTATACGAATAGACATACACCTAGCGTTCGAGTTGACGCCAGCTGACTTTTCAATTTAGGAAATGTGAAACGAATTATCGCTACCTGTAGAATTTTCTTCATTTGCGTTAGGCTCCAGAAATTATTCGTCGAACCATTCGCTTGTCAGTTCAAAAACATCAAAGATGCTGCCGAGGTGGAAGTCTCCGATGTCAGACATGTTTGTTTACAAACAAAAAGGTCAACGAGTTTATTGTATTCATGCGCGGTCAATCGGTCACTTTAATTAGCGGTCCTTAAACTGTCAATTAAGTACGGTTTTGATGAGCTCTCAGCCAATCAGAATCGAGTATCACACATTGTCGTGCTATTTTTTAGAATGATTGATAACATGTTTTTTTTCCTATCACCAACAACTTTTGCACACCACGTGTTGGTGGTTTGGCATATGACAGAAAGGTGTTTTCACATTCACCCTGCGTGATTCACCACAGTTGAAATGAGCGGATGCGTCGTGTCAGACCTTGCCATTATGGTATCCTCCCAGGTTACCTACATTGTACTACCCATTTTGAATATGAAATGAAAGGTTTAATTATATACGGCGTTGTTTTAGAGATGACTCATTAGCCTCAACGTGAAGACTCTCAATGGGAGAAATTCCAAGACAAGTGCTAAGAAGGTAAGGTATCTGCTGGTCAAATATAATTTTGTTAAAATAACTTCCTTTTCAACTTTAATACGAGTGCCTGATGGATGAAATTTTGTGTGCCTGTGTTGTGTATACTTCCGACAGAAATGAATTACCTTTTGAAAGCATGAAACCATTTTGTACTGGCCTGTCATTAATTGTATTAAGACACAGCTGAAACTGTTTTTCAGTCGTCCGCATATTGTTACCTCGACATGACACATTAAAATCATCTCCAAAGAATGATTCAACGGATTCATTTAAAACATTAGATAGGCTGTTTATCTTTATACTGAATAACGCTACTGATAATATGCTACCTTGTGACACACCTTTGTCTTGATCATAAAAATCAGACTTGGTGGAAACCACACGTACCTGAAACGGCCGATCTGTTAAAGACTGAGATATGAAATACGGCAAGCGACCTCTAAGCACCATTTCATGAAGCTCTGTTAAGATTCCATATTTCCAGGTTGTATCATACAATTTTTTTCTAAATCGAAAAATATGGACAAAGCGTGTGTTTAGTGATGATAGCATCCTTAACAAACGTTTCCAATCTGATTAAATGGTCTATGCAACTTCTATTGTTTCTCAACCCACAGTGAATTTATGAAGTACCATATTAATTGGTTATTGACCAATCGTTCTTTCCATGGTCTTACAAACACAACTACTAAGCAAATATAGGCCTGTAATTTGGAGCATCGGAATGATCACGGACAGGTGTCGGAACTGGGATTGCGAAAGCATTTCACCACGATGAAGGGAAATAAGTTGTTGCTCAAATCTGATCAAATATATACTTTTCATAAAAGGAAACGTATAACCCAGAAATCTGTTGCGAAAATGTTGTATTTTCAAACATGTATAACTCGTCCACAAATAGACTTTAGTACATACATTTTTTAATCAGTTTAGAAGAAGGACATGTCTATACAACAAAGTGGATAACTTTAGATAACGGAGACGTTGAGCGCCATGGCGACGACGTAGCACGGGCTCGACGTCGGATCTCCTGGCTGGCTGTCCAATCTGCCTCAACCTGTTCCGTACAGTTTGACCGGATATCCTTCGAAGTCCAGGTTGCTGTGCTGTCACCCGTGGCAGTACGATCACGCAAATGTAGTACCCGGATGTACCGATCTTGGGCTACAGTGGTGACTCGAGGTCTGCCAGTACGGGGAGGGTCATTTGTTATCCCTGTTTGGTTGTAACGTGCTGCAAGCCGTGCTCAGACTAACATTCAGATGCCTGGCAACAGAAGATTGGTAATCTCCAGTGTGCATTCTTTCATTGGCCATATTCAGTGTCGCAGCATCAAGACGTGGCGAAGTGACTTGACCTTGAAACTCCTTCAAAACGAATGCCGATTTCCGAAAGTAATCTGAATTTTTACAGCCAAACAGTGCATGCTCTTTGCTGCACAATTTCAACTGGAAGGTGATTTCTGTTGCGTTGTGGTGATGCCTCTTAAAGCCTTGTTAGAATTTTCATCAAAATCAACATTTTCAGTTAAAGTCGATTTTTTACTTGTATAATTGTCTAAAATCACTTTTGTTACATATTTTGACGATTGTTTGAACACAATTGGTAATTTATAGGTACAAAACTACTATGCGTTTCTTTTTTTGGATAGTATATTTAAAAGTGTTTCTGAAGAGGAATAAGGTAAATGTTTCGGTAACTGATAGTGAATATCATCAGCACCTGTAGCAGTATCATGAGCCTGCCCTTATGTGGTATGCAGCTCATGAGTTGAGTTGGGTTTTACGCCACATCGGCATTTTTCCAGCCATATAGTGACGGCATCATGTCTGACATAATACGCATTTTAAGTCCAAATGAGTTAATGTTAAAAGCATATATAAAATTCATTACACTGTTGTGGTGTTTCGTTTAGTTTGTTTTTGAGTTCGCAATTCACTAACAGAGTCTCAGTGTTACCTCCCTTAGTTAAAAACGCATGGAAACAGGCCGCAATGTCAAACTTGCAACAGGACCGGGATTCCATCCCACTAACAGTGCAAATAGGCCACCAAAGTGTATGTATATGATGCATATGAGTTATAACATGACCTAGATGTTGTTTCTATAATAGGTTTTACATGTCAGTTTCCATTAGGTTTGTTTATCATTACCGCGCAGGACCCGTGAAGATCCGGGATAGAATAGGTCTTCAGCAACCCTTGCTTGCCACAAAAGGCGACTGGGCTTGTCGTTAGAGGCGACTAACGGAATCGGGTGGTCAGGCTCGCTGACTTCGTTGACACATGTCAGATCGATGCTCATACTGTTGATCACTGGATTGTCTGGTCCAGACTCGATTATATTACAAAATTATATTACAGTATGTTTGAGCTCTGTTCAGAGTAAATTAGTATCATAAATAGCATATTACATTTATTTCTAGTGCTAGCATATTTTTTGTTTAGTGTAAACAGTGAGTACACGTAGGCTTTATGTCAATTTGAAGCGCACGTAAAATCTCAAGATATCTGCCAGGCTAGCGCTTCACTGTAGTTATGCAGTCGTAACACTATTTAATTCTGCTTTCAGAAAATGTTTCTAGATTGTTGTTCAGACTGGAACCTTTTGTTTGTTTCAGTCTTTTACGTATTATCACGGACAGGACCAAAGTTTATGTCATGGTAAACTTCTTTCGTCTGTACAACTGTTATTCAAAAACAGAACATGTCAGCACTAAAATTCAAAAGCACGCAATTCGTTATTCACAAGACATTGTCATAATCCTCACCATTATCCAAATCAAAAAATATTTTTCCTGTTTTCTTGTTCTTTTAGTTTTTGATGTGATGAGGACGAATGCTGTGCTAAAGTTTATTTGCTATTCCACAGTAACTGGTAAATAGTGTGTCGCCCTCCTTGAGATGGAGTGGGCTGAATTTCGATCGTTTACCCTGTGCACCATATTCCAAACATTGGACATAGGCGTTCGAAATTGTCAGAACAGGTGAAGGGAACAGACATTCCAGCAAGGAAAAAGACCTGCTATTATTCAGCAAACTGTTGCAGCAGGTCTGTTCTTAAGCACCGGTCAGTCAAGACATTAATGAAGAATACCAGTTGATAGATAACACTTCTTGTTTATTGCATGGAACGAGTTTCGATTTAGATTATTACGCCGGTTACAAGACATTAGTATACGTGAGTGAGTGAGTGAGTTTAGTTTTACGCCGCACTCAGCAATATTCCAGCTATATGGCGGCGGTCTGTAAATAATCGAGTCTGGACCAGACAATCTAGTGATCAACAGCATGAGCATCGATCTGCGCAATTGGGAACCGATGACATGTGTCAACCAGGTCAGCGAAACTGACCACCCGATCCCGTTAGTTGCCTCTTACGACAAGCATAGTCGCCTTTTATGGCAAGCACATGGGTTGCTGAAGACCTATTCTACCCCGGATCTTCACGGGTCCTTTGGACAATGTGTAGCTTGATAACGGTGAACGAATCTGGCAGCATCGTTTGTGTGCTAAATACACAGTAGATGCTTAGTAGATGTTTAGGACACGCTTTTAAGAGGTTTAAAGAACACACATTTCATATGTAAAACTTAAAGTTAAAAAAATGAAGATAAAGAAATACCTAATGAGAGTATATTCTGCTGGCAACAACTTGAAAAACTACATCCAGTTATCAGTTCTTGCATATCAAAATGTCATGAGGGTCAGACAAGATCACCTTTCGGTACATGGAATGTCATCAGAACCCTCACAAATCCCCAACATTCTCGGAATGTCGTGTCACAGTGTTCTTAACTTAAGATGTTTTATCACGGGGCTGTTAAGTTATAACAACTTATCTCTCTTTTCTAAAGTTAAAATATATCATCAATGTGCTAATTTTAAACAATGTATCAATGTGCTTATTTTAAACAAGGTATCACTGTGCTGTTAACTTACATTATTATATAACTGTGCTGATTACTAAGAATGGTATATACCTGTGCTGTTAAGTTAAAATGATTTAGTAATGCATTGTTTAGTTACAAAGCTTAATCATTGTACTGTTCCTTGCCTAATAAGATGAATGTTCTGTGTTCAATAAAACGTCTATTAAAGTGTTCCCAGTTATTGATTATTCGACTTTCTACAATCGTTTCCATGGTTCCTAGTATAGTATGGTGATCTACCTCCAGATGCTGGCGATCTATAGCCCGTGTTTTATATTGTATTGTCTTCTTTAATTGGAATGTTTTAGCTTTGTTCGCTAGTTTTATATTATACCTGTGATTATCTAGTACTTTTACTGTCCATCGTCGACAGGTTTTAATCTTCAAAATATTTTCACTTTTTGTTGTATAAAGTGTTTTCGTCACGATATGGCTGAGATATTGCCGATGTGACGTTAAATATTAACTCACTCACTCACCACAATCGTTTAGTATTGTTAATAATGTCAAAGTACACAAAAGATGATAATGTGCTGTGACCTTCTCCTCAAGATATATATGTTAATGTATCATTGATTTCGCTAAACATATCTTCAAAATTCAGAGCGATTTTACAATGGGCCTTTCGGAGTTTCGAAGGATATACATGTTATATACGGTTGTATTAACACACAGAGATATCTAAAAAAGTAATACTGCAGAGAATGCGAGGACAACACTTGATGCAAGAACGTCATGAGACGTTGCTCCGCCAGTGTGAGGTGGGAAGTCCCCGTTGTTGTCGTCCTTCCTGCATGAACAGGATCCAAGGGCAGCTACAAATCGCGTTGTCTTGAGATCTGGATAGTTTCTGGACCTCAGGGTTAGCATATAATCCTGCGTTACACCCTTTGCAAGACAAGGATGCTTTTCAACCTCAGCAATAGCTGCGGGACATTCCTCGCGACATCCACCGTAGGGACTGCAGTTGTCCAACACCTACAGAAAAAAAATCAATTAATATTCCAATATATAATTGGGTGATGTTTTTTTAACGCCCCAGGCAAATAACATTCGCAATAACTGTTTGCATGGGTGAAACATTGTGACTTGGGTTGGTTGGAAGGGTGGTGTAACACATCAAGCTAATGAAATTGTGATCGTATACATTTAGTACTTACAATAAAGTACTCATACGTATGAACACATGACTGTATAGTAAGAGAATCGTGTTCAGCAGTATTTCCATGTAGATCTTAGCGAATGATCATGATGGGACAGGAAAGACCTAAGTGCTCCTGGTCTACAGGAGGTTCACGGGGTATAGTTCCAGCAAATCACGTCGAATCAATCACAGGCCGTTAGACTGCCCAATCGACGCACCAGCATGACATTGCTGCAATGTTGCTGAAAGCGGAGTAAAACTAACCTCATTCACTCACTCACTCACCCATCTACCGAAGGGACGCGACTGCGCAACGAAATAAAAGTGTCACCCATGTAAACAGTTATTTTTACAGATTGATCTGATTACACTGACGTGCGACTATAACGAGCCACTTCAAATGTATTCATAATAATGAGAAATGTCTGCCAAAATGTCCATTGTTCGATTCCGAAAATCTCCCAGGCATGTGTTTATGAATCCCCAAAACATAGTGACGGGAACACTGGATCGCGACAAGACAAGGCTACCGCATTCAGCCGTCACAAACAAATGCAAAGGCAAATATATTAATTACATGAAATTCACGGGACTAAATGGTACGATTCAAATTAAAGTATTTGATTGTGCACAATTGTTGGCGGTCATTTGAAACATGTGTCCAGCAGATTAACAGTTCTGCTCAAAATGATATTTATTTTAAGTTAAATATATCGATCATATTCGTAAATATTGACAGAAATAATATATGCCTAGTTGGCAGGTATTGCTGATTACCTTGTCCATAACCATTTTCGTGTTGGGATGTGAATTATTGAAGAAATCGGCAATGCTGCAACCCATAAGTACTCCGCTGTCCATGTCACAGTGGTTGAGTGTCTTCCAAGTTACACAGACGTTGTTCCTGCTGGCATTTTTAGGGTAATAGGTGAATATACCATAACACATCTCGTCACTTGTCGCGTCACCGTAAAATGTAGTTGTCTTAGAAGACACCGATCGGAATACGCAAGTCGTCTTCAGGGAATCACCAGGATGAACGGCCACTGGCGGATCATATCTGTTGCGAATAAAACGGTGAAAGTGAAAGTATAGGTGAGAGAACATTCAACCTTTTCTAAAGTACCTGGACTACTTTTTGTCAATTAACACTGTGTGTGAGTGTCTTCTTACACTACCGTTAGCAATGTCCTTTTCATATCCTCATGGACAAAACCCGTACATGGGGTTTAACTATTGTATCCATGTTGGGAATAAAACGCGTGACAGACGAACTTAACAGAAATATAACACACTGCCCCTTGCTTGCGTACCAATTAAACGGTGATTGAGCCTTGCTCATTGATTGGACAAATTTCCATTAAAGTTTTAGGCAAAGAGTTATACAGGACATTACGCTATTTCACGCTCAGAGTAAGTTTACCACACATTGACATGCCTGTTTTATTCAAGAACGTGCTTATGCCAACAAAGAGAAGTGTGGTTTTTCTTGAGTCATATATATTCAGTACTCCACAGGTATAACTTTACTTCGAAGACGGGGCGAAGAGTAGCATTATGGTGAAGTCGTTCGCTCGTCAACCCGAATGTCCGGTTTCGATTCCCAGCACGGTTACAATGGGTGAAGTCCATTTCCGGTGTCCCCTGGTGTGATATTGCTGGAATATTGCTAAAGCGCAGCTCACTCACATACTCCAAAGACAGTACAAATTAGATTCCGGTGTCTCAGGTTTCACCCTAATTCACAACGTTTACTGACTCCTCTGTAAAACAAGCAAGCCTGTCGAAATATATAAAACAAGAAAGTCAGCAATATCTCCACAAAGTCCGTACTGATGTGATCGATTGGCTATTGACTGATGTGGAGGTAGATATTCAATAGTAAGGTGAATTTTAATACCAATTGTTTACATTCATCAGATACAACCGATTTAGATCCATCGGCACAGCGCAAGTAAAGCATGTAAAGGTTTCCTTATATCGCTCCTCGGAGAAGCTTTTATTTTTGTTTGTAGGAATAACCTTCGAAGGTCGATAGTTACAACAGGTAACATAACATATCCAGAACGTCACACTCGTGCATTTGGCCCTTGTTTATTCAACGTACAGAGGAGCGGTGGGATAGCCTTGTGGTTGTAGTGTCAGCTCAGCTTGCTGAAGAAAAGGGCTCGATTCCCCACATGGGTACAGTGTGTGATATTGATGGAATATTGATAAAGGCGGAGTAAAACCACACTCACTCAAGAGTTCGAACACCAAGACATCTTCGAGTTCAATACATGTTATTACATGTTATACAGATTAAGATGAAAAAGAGGGTTCGGGTGATCCTGGCACAGTCAGGCTGGTAAGGCTCATCATCAGCTGAGGGCCCTTGCCCCTCTACACGCAGCCCAGACAGCGAATGGGACTTGTCCCAGGAAGTGCTGCCTAGTCGAACCCACCAAGAACTTTCCGGAGAATATGTAGACTCCCCAACACTGCAGCTTTCTGCATTACCCAGAGTGTCAGAAGGTTTGTGCTCCCAGTGGACAACCCGCGCACTCTCTTGATAGCAGGAGGTACCAAACCAAAGGCACCGCGATCGCTGACAAGATTTTGGACAGTCTCTGTGAATTCAATGCAAAGTCGACATCTCATATTGATGTTTTCTTTAAGAATCACATTTTGGCGATTGCGAGTGGGAATTCCTGAGCAGCAAAAAGAAAGCCCTCAGTTTCACATTTAAGACCAGCCGACTTCATCCAGGCGAAGGAGTTTCTCAGAAAGCTTATCCACAAATGACCGACTTTGGGCAGACATTGGTGAAGGACTTCACCTCGTTTACTCTCATCGCTGTACCGTCCAGCAGTACCTTGACATCAACAAACTTAACCTTATTTTTAGATTTTGTCCAACAACCTTGGCACGCTGAAGATAGCTGGGGAATTATTATGCTAATATATGTATAGCGGCAATATCCAGCTCAGCTGCTCAAAGGCGCTTTGTTTTTCCGCCGATCATTGGATGTCAATCTCAAACGGCACATCGTATTATCAATATAATCCAAATGCATGAGCATGACGTTCTATATTTCTTACACACCCTTTTTGACTTGACACAGACTTTATAAATCTAACTCTCTAGACAAGGGTCGTATCACACATGTATATGTGATATCGCATTTCCTCGCCAGACGCTGTGAATCAAGTGCCAGATGTAATATATATATATGATGAGCAATTGCCTAAAACAACCATTACGTCGTGGTCGTTCAAAGTATATTATTTGTCACTTTCGGAAAACGAGGTTTTCCGAATAACGGGGTCGTACTGTAATACTATACTGTTCTATGAGAAAACATAGTAAAACGTATTGTTTTTAAGTAAACGTTTATCCATACTCATGTGTTCTGTCTATGGGTGTTACTATACTACAAGTAAGAATCTTACAGCACGTCAGATGGATTGTCGTAGCTGTAGCTTTGATCATTTGTGAGATATTTTCTCGTGTCTCCGCTGAAGAGTTCCACTGTCTGTGCGATGCCTGGAGGAAGGACAGTCAAGTTATGTGAAATAATACTATATGCATATGTAAATTATTATACGGAGGCTATTTTGTTGACTGCACAGCACTGCATTATGTAACAAGCCTTGGAGGAACCCTTTGTTCGTGGATTCCATTTGGCCCTGAGTATCTTTCTGGCTGTGCTCTTAGGGTTTACTCAAGATGTTCACTGGCCAGAGCACTACGCCTGTTCCTGTTATTCTCCAGATAGTATCCGTCATATAACATAAGTAATGCATGCTTCCAAGGTCCACGCAAAAAGGCGTTGAACAACTTTCAGCAGTAGCAGATCATGTCAACTTCATTTAAGAACTCACAAAGTAACCTGAGTCCCTGATGTTAACCAATAAGTAAAATAGTTCAAGAGATAATGGATTAATTTTAGTGAAACCCCAAACCAGTGGATCCTAGTACAGGTAAGGGGGGCAACCGGTATACCGAATGCAACTCCAAAGGACACAACCCGTTGTTCTGCCCATTTGTAGGTGACATAACCTGAAAGAATGGGGCCCATAGCTTTAAGTGAATCTAGGAATTGAATACAAGACAGGATGTTTGCAGGCCCATGCAACTTTACACAATGAATGGCAGTGCCCTACACCAACTGACCACCCGTGCAACAGATAGGAGAAAACGTACCTTTGTAATGCATATGGTTGAATCCTGTAATCAAATAGATGGTGTCTTTCAGGATCTTCTTGGTGCACCGTGATGGACACATAGATTCGACCACGGTCCTGCTCCGTCCCGGTGGGATCACAATGTGGGTTTCACCTGTCCAAAAGACTCCCGCGTCGTAGGGGCGAAGGTTGGGGGTGTAGTAGATGCTGAAGCCTGAGCCGTCCATCTGTCCAGATATCTTTTGGGGGTTGTTCCAGTGAAACTAAACCAACCAACCAAACAAAGAAAAAAAAGTAGTTTGCTGCATATTCATTTGAATATTTCGACGCCTGAAACCCAGAGCGTTCTAGGTCCTAAAAACGTATTTTCGAGAAATTAGATCTTAAAGTTTAAAACAACACTATTTCCAAAACTATTCGATCAAATTCTTTGGAATTATGCACATGCATGTGTCGCATAACAAAATTTGGAAAATAACCTAAAGTATGTTAAAGCTCTTGCAATAAATAAGAAATTAACACTCGACCAAGTAAATTCGTACTTATGTTCAGAGCCAGAGTGTTCTATGTATCAGAAATGCAACTGAATCATTATTGTACGATTATTGTAGGGTTACTTCTCCCGTACCAGGTTGTATTTTTGTTTTAGTTTCACAGCTTAAGAATTATATTAAATATATAATAAATAGAGACAATGTTCCAGTTTTCCATTTGTATGTTTATAACAATGATAAGAACTTTCAGACTGTTCCATCTCCATGATCAATCTGGATTTGCTGATTGGTCCAATGACCACTTAGAAAACTCTGGAACTAACAATTAGTGTTATTTAATGGAGATAAAAAATGTAAAACCACTTTCTAGGCTATATATCACGGTGAAATTTTGCATGGTGAATATGTAGTAAGGCATACTCTCAGGTTCCTTACTCAATATTCACTTAAAGTGGACATGGAACACTCTGTTTTAAAGGGGACAATTAGGTTATGAATTGGAATGCAAGTAAATATGTGTACCTCAAGCAGGACCCTTTTGTAGCCGGTTTTGCCAATTCTGAAGCCAGCTTCTCTGTAGAAACATTCACCAGGTACGCCAATAGCCCACGAGCCTGTTACTTCTTCGCAAGAAGGGGTAGACATATCACATTCTCGTGGACTTTCAATAGCGGGCGCTTCAAGGAAGGATACCATACCGCCATTATAAATAAAAAAAACAAGTTTATTTTTGTAAGATCACAGTTGTGTAGATTTTCTAAATTGGTCAGAATAGTAAAGAATAGACTACTTAATATATGGCGGGAATAGTGGTCAAAATAACAATCCTTATCATTACTAACATGTTTCCGGTTATGCCTGAAGTACGTTTTTCTGGACAGATAATCTTCTGACGCCTGAGCCAGCCATGCCTATGAACACGAATGGAAATAGAATAATATCGACGGGGAACGAACATTTTTTCTAACGAAATATTCATTGAAGACCCGTGGTATGAATACATACCACCATCACGACAACACCATCACGACAACACCATAACACCATCACGACAACACCATCACACCAACACGACAACAGAATACATACCACCATCACGACAACAGAATACATACCACCATCTCAACAACAGAATACATACCACCATCTCAACAACAGAATACACACCACCACCACGACAACAGAATACATACCACCATCACGACAACAGAATACATACCACCATCACGACAACAGAATACATACCACCATCTCAACAACAGAATACATACCACCATCTCAACAACAGAATACATACCACCATCTCAACAACAGAATACATACCACCATCTCAACAACAGAATACATACCACCATCACGACAACAAAATACACACCACCATCACGACAACAGAATACATACCACCATCTCAACAACAGAATACATACCACCATCTCAACAACAGAATACACACCACCACCACGACATTAGAATACATACCACCATCACGACAACAGAATATGTGGCAGGAATACATACCACCATGTCAACAACAGAATACATACCACCATCTCAACAACAGAATACATACCACCATCACGACAACAGAAAACATACCACCATATCAACAACAGAATACATACCACCATCACGACAACAGAATACATACCACCATCACGATAACAGAATACATACCACCATCACGACAACAGAATACATACCACCATCACAACAGAATACATACCACCATCACGACAACAGAATACATACCACTATCTCAACAACAATACATACCACCATCACGACAATAGAATACATACCACCATCACGACAACAGAATATGTGGCAGGAATACATACCACCATATCAACAACAGAATACATACCACCATCTCAACAACAGAATACATACCACCATCACGACAACAGAAAACATACCACCATCACAACAGAATACATACAATCATCACGACAACAGAATACGTACCACCATCACGACCACAGAATATGGGTCAGGAATACATACCACCATCACGATAACAGAATATGTGGCATCTATACATACATCACGACAACAGAATACGTGGCATGAAAACAAATCACCAGCACGACCACAGAATATGGGTCGAGAATACATACCATTCTCACGACTACAATACATAAGAATATCGTGCATGCATACGTACCGTCATCAGTACAGCCGTAAAGGATGATATGGTGCATGAATACGTACCGTCAGTACAGCCGTAAAGGATGATATGGTGCATGAATACGTACCGTCATCAGTACAGCCGTAAAGGATGATATGGTGCATGAATACGTACCGTCATCAGTACAGCCGTAAAGGATGATATCGTGCATGAATACGTACCGTCATCAGTACAGCCGTAAAGGATGATATGGTGCATGATATCTACATTGTCTATTTCCGGTTCAGTGGCAATCATGTGGTAATCCTGTGAGTCATCCAAGTCAAAGGTCATGCAAATGTAGGTGGTTTCTTTGGCTGGTACTGCCGTTCGTGGAATCCTCAGAACCCGTTTCTTGACTCCTGCAACACAGTATCTCTCAGTATTTAGATTTACATGTCAGTTTTGATGTGCAGATCTGTTGTCAGGTGACACTGTCCTCCCATTCACGTGAAACATCGCCAATTGAGCCACCATGACTCAGTTGTCACAAAGTAGAAAATACTTTCAGAGAAGTACATTTGCTGAAACAGAACTTTCATAAGCGTTATGTTTCCAAGAGACATATATAAAACTACTGACACCCTTAAATTGAGATTGTACAGAGGTTGCCATTCTATTTTCTATGTCTCCCCCGGGAGAAACTGGAGGCGCTTCTGTTTTGGTTCACCAGAGCGTCATACACAAAAAAACTCTCCCTCTCACCTTCTTCTGTGGCTGCAGGGCAGTTAAATTTACTACTTTGACATGGAGCTGTGGCAAGTCCATCACATGTCTGGCTTGAAGATGTATCACAATAGCCTGAAATGAAATCAGTGGTTGTAGAAATATTATATAACAAACAGAGTTGAGACACTTTCAAGCCATGTTCCACCTTACGAGCTGCGAAAGGACAATTTCATATCGGCATCAAATACATGCTCCGATCTCCTAAAATGTACATCTGCACATTTTTTACGAGCAGTAATGAGACGATTTTCAGATCGTCAATAGAGAGAAACCAAGCGTGACCTAAACCAGTCAAAGTAAACTTAGGCTCAGTATTATTCGTTACACTGCTTTACTGAGTCTAACAAAACCTTGTTGAAGGTCGCGTCAGCTAACCTTTTGGACTGACCAATCAGAACACAGCTTACCAAATCGCGAAAGTTAACATTCGCACATACCGTTTGAACCTTTACCTCAAAACTCGTACGATTCCGAATGCTATTTTCCGCACGATCGCTTCCGAGTGATACACGCAATGAGTAAACAGTCGCTGAAAATATCGTTTTTGTCGTTTCAAGGATGTCATCTTGCGAAAATATAAGCAAATAGTAACCATATTATTAGATTCCCATAAGCGTATATACTGCAGGTCAAATATATGTGTTTTATGCGGATTTTCGTTTGTTGATAGATCTGTGTCAGCGACCAGGGAAGAGAAAATTCAAAAACCGTTTCGTAAGTCTCAGACCGCCTCCGTGGTGTAGTGGTTAGAGCGTCCGCCCGGAGAGCGGAAGGTTGCGGGTTCGATCCCCGACCGCGTCATACCAAAAGACGTTAAAATATGGTACTTGTTGGTTCCTGTCTGGCGCTCGGCATTAATGGGTACAAACAAGGACTGGTCGGCTTGTATATAGTATAATGTGTCTGAGTGGGGTATTCATGCTTCACTGCGGCATGGTATCTCAGTGGGCTAGCACTATAAAACCAGCTTCAGTCTGGGCTAGTACAAGCAGCCGCACATACACATCCACACGCATGCACGTCGTCATATGAGCGAAATATTCTCAAGCACGACGTTAAACCCAATTTCACCTCACCTCACCTCACCTCACCTCGTAAGTCTCGCCGAACTCTAACAAGTAGTCGTTGTCTGATTGGTTAAATCCGTTCGGCCGTCTCGCGTTTGATTTGACGGTCATAGGTCGCTCAATGGTTAGCTGACGCGACCTTCTACAAGGTTTTGTTAGACTCAGTATAGCAGTGTAACGAATAATACTGAGCCTAAATTTACTTAGACTGGACCTAAACATGAGCATGTATATGTTTGAAAAGAGAAGCGGTGGGACACCTTCCGATTGTCAAACGATACCAGCCTAGCGTGGGATAAAACGCGTCTGTGTTTACACCGCGCAGTGATGGGACACTTTCAGATCATAAATAACCTTCTTGCCAAGCGTGACTTACCCATTACCAAATGTAATATATTCGAAAGAATACACGTTCACCTTTACTATCCTTACAAAATTACAGTGGTTTGTGTTGATATAAAGCAGGTTCTTGAAGCGTAACACATTATGTATGAAATAATATATGTGAAATGAGTCTTCATGCTTCTCAGTGGTAATAAAATAGATTATATGTAATTTCAAACTAACTTCGTTGACTAATGTAATACATGTATATAATTTCCACAGGTGAAATTTGTTTCAGCCTTGAAGATGACGACGCAAAGAACATCGTCTTCATTCAACTTCCATGGCACAAATGTACATACCTGGGTGTGTGAGACCAGCGGTGCGTGTGGGCGTGGCTCCAGGTGTCCAGATGCACTGGGGGTCACCCAATTCCTGACCATTTGTCATTCCATCACCATCGGAGTCCATTTCACACACATTAGCCCACTGTATGGACAGGAAAGGGTTTGGGTGAAATGCTTGCTATTCTACCATGACTTCAGTAAATACTGGATTGTGATTGGTTAATCAAAGTCATTCAGAGGTATATAATAACGTTATATACCTCTGATTTTCCAACACAGTATGTATTTTTGCAAAATCTTGATAACGCGGTTATGGTAGAATGGAGATAAATGTACTGTGTTGGAAAATCAGAGGTATCTAACGAAATTATAATAGCTCTAAATTTTTGATTTAAAACCTCACGCTACGCGTTCGGTATTAAATCAAATTTAGAGCTATTATAATTTCCTAATATACCTCTGATTTTCCAACACAGTATGTACTCATGCTTTGCTAAGGATCAAACAAATTTACAACTTCACGTAGATGTATAATTTGAAATTGTGTCCATTTAAAACTGGATAGATAATAATATGGCAACCCCTCTTTAGGCAGTCACTTTAATCTAACCTTATGCACTTGATACATGAGCAACCATAAAAATGGTTTTCATGGCACCAATCAACCATTTCGTAAATTATAGAACGAGTCATTGGCAAGTACATAACACCTGTTAATAGCAGGTATGGGTTCCATAAGATGCAATGACATACTGAAACCTTGGATCCATGCTTACAATAAGGTTAGTCATTTAAACCAAATTTGACCCCACATCATAGTTTTCTGTTGAATCTATGGTTTGAACCTTAGCAAAATGAATAGTATATTTTGACACTGGTGGCCTAATCGTCTAAGGTGAAGCAACTGACGTGAGACAGCTTCGATTCTGAACCTTGGTTTGTTACTGTAAGGCACCTGTCTGGCCATAATGTGAGTGAACTACTGTCAAAGGTCTTTCTCTGGGAAGCCAACACGCTGCTGTTTCTGTTTGTTTGCTTTTCTGTTTGCTGTTTAACGCCGCACTCAGCACTATTCCAGCTATATGGCAACAGTCTGTAAATAATCGAGTCTGGATCAGACAATACAGTGATCAACATGACCATCAATCTATCGAGATACGATGACATGTGTCAACCATGTCTGGTGAAGACTAATTCTAACCGGATTTTCACGGGTCTTCAATGAATATTCCGCTAGAAAAAATATTCGTTCCCATTATAAATATTATTCTATTTTCATTTTGTTCATAGTCATGGCGTCAGAAGATTATCTGTCAAGCAAAAGGTATTTCATGTACAACAGGAAACATTTTAGTATCATGAGATCATGCGAATCGATCTACTCAATTGGAATACGGTGAGATGTGTCAACCAAGATCGCCCGATCCCGTTAGTCACCTATAACGACAAGCATGAGTTGCTGAAGACCTAACCAGGGTCTTCACAGTTTATCAAGATTTGTAAAAAGCGGGGTTACATCAAACTGGTTCAGAGTGTGATGGACGTGTTGACGGGCGTGTTAACGAACACGTGAAACAATATTTAGGGGCTCAATAAACTGACTGAATATGGTTTTACGCCGCTTTTAGCAATATTCCAGCAATATCACGGCGGGGAACACCAGAAATGGGCTTCACACACTGTACCTATGTGGGGATTCGAACTCGGGTCTTCGGCGTGACGAGCCAATGATTTAACCGCTAGGCTACCCCACCGCCCCGGGTTCAATACAGATCAAGAAATTGGACCATAGCCTGAAAACGTTTAGATGAAAAAGAAACTTTAGCTGTAATTTAGCCCATTTAGCCTTCCAGTCTGCGCTTTATCTTACAACGAAATGAATTATTTTCTTTACCACTCTATTGTGAATTTCAAAATCATATCCAGTTTTTATGCTCTAGTCAACACGTCTGTCTTTCAGAAGAAAAGGTTATATGTTCTCACCTTTCTGCCTTGATTGGCAAAATCAATACCAAACTGATTTCTGTCGCCTCCACCTGCGGGTTTCACATGCCCAACCCCCTGCCACATCTCCCCCGTCACACAAGGGTGGGTCAGGTTGTGGCCATTGGGTATGCGGTCCCTGTACCCGCCATACCCATAGATCACTCCGATACATGTGAGGAAGGCGGGGAGTCTGTAAGAAAAAAAGGAACAGATATATACACTGGCCACATTAAGAAACTGTGCACACAGAAATTATAAAGATAGGCAGACAGCGTCTTTGTGCATAAATAAAGGTGTGTACATAGCAAGTATTGGAGACAATCAAACGCTCATGCAGGTGCCAGGCGACGTGACGTCATTGATGGTGGCCTATGGACTTGCAATGTGTTACTGCACGTACAGCCTGTGCAGCTGCACACAACATGTGAAATTCAGAAATTGCTGTCACTGTCGAAAGCTTGATATTTGGTCATTCAAACGTTCACAAATTCACATGAAAAGTCACATGCACATCATGCCAAGATTAATATGTGCTCAATGCCATGAAGCCATTGGAATGGTTCGAGCAGGCATGAGCCAACAACAGGTAGCAGCACATTTCCAATGCCATCGTAACACGACATCTGCATTGGTCAGACGTTAGGGAAACAGTAATGACGTCGCCGACCACCCACGTTGTGGGCGTCACCAAGTAACGACGCCAAGACAGGACAGGTGGATTCGGGTGACTCATATGAGACACAGGTTCCAGACGGCAGTGACCACGTCCCAAATCATTCCCCAGGCCTTCATTTGGAAACTTTGGAAGCCTCTATGCGTCGTCGATGCACTGCTGTACTTCACGCGCATGATGGTCATACCCGTTATTGACTTTGTGACTTCGACGTGTGACCCCCGACTCAATTTTGAACTTCTGACGTCATCGTAACGGATATTGTTCATGTTCTTTTGACATGTTGTTGAGGCCCGATACTTCAGCTTATAAAGTTTCTACATCATGTCGTCTTTTCTGTGTTGTATTCCAATTCTGAAGGAATTTTGTGTGTGCACAGTTTCTTTATGTGGCTAGTACATAAACACTTACATTGTATGATTTACGAGTTAAATAACAGCATTTTGGATTAGGATACTTTCTTGCTGAGTAAACGAAGAATGTATTTAGATAAATACTGCAATATACCGGAATGACTGGGTTATCCCCAATGGACCTAATCCTGTGATGAGAAGACAGAGACACACAGTGATGGACAGAGAGCAGAACAGAATTTGCTGCTGATGGATGTAGCTACTGAATGCCCTCTCAGTGTCAATGAAGTCTTTTGACAGCCAAATAATACGTCAGATGCATTGACATGCTTGAAGCTGGGACAACACACATTCACCTTGCAATCGCTTTGGTGGTAGCAAAGAGTGAACAGGAGGCCTTGGAATCTGTACGAGATGTGGGGATTAGCTACCCGGCCACATTTCTACATTACTTGTGATATATGACCGATGTTCCCGCCTCGAATAGCTGGGAAATTTTTGAAGCGTCTTAAAGCTATATTCATCCAATCATTAATTCATTCAAAACTACCCGGCAATATCCAGGCGGTCGACAGCGTTCGAGCATTTCGAAATAGGCTTCCCTGATTGTAGCAAGGCGTGATCAGTTTGTGTTTGCTACCGCACTCAGAAATGACCCCCGGAACGCCAGTGGCACCTCTACTAAGCTTTTAATCGCCTTCGTGAGGCTGCTCACCAGCCACTTTGGACGTGCATTCGCAAACAGGCAGTTTTGAATGAGGCTGAAGCCGCAGCAGAACATGACTGCTGTGGAGGGGGTTCAATCCCGATTTCAGTAGCACTGGATGAACCATCTTCCATATGCTAAAGTGGAGCACCATGACATGACTGCAATACAGGGATGACATACTTGATGTGTACGTGCGACCGTATGCTCGTGCTATCAGACCTTTGAGTTGAGTTGAGTTGGGCTTTACGTCACATCGGCATTATTCCAGCCATATAGTGACGAGAACAAGTTTGCATTAATATACATTGTAAGTACAAAGTGGTTTCGTTTCAAAGACACACATTCATTACATTGTCATTTTGGAACAGAGAATGTCATAGCACTAAATTGAAAAGCAGGTAAATTCGTTAGTGACATTACACAGTTACAATTTATGATATAGATCAACTTCCCTCAGGTAGTTCAGTATCAGATGAGCGCTCACGCTGGAGAACAGATCTTTCAGATTGGTTGCGTGATAATGCAAGTCCCTTGCAGATGTAAAGTCAACACAGTCAAGCAGAATATGCTTGACGGTGAAAGCCTCATCGCAGGAGAGACATATGGGGGTCCATCCCTATCCGTTTTTAGCAGATAGTCATGTGTAAATCGACTGTGGCCAATACGACATCGTCGTAAAATTACTTCATCACGTCTTGACTGGCAACCCAAGTAGGTATAACCGATTGTTGGCTTCAATTCATGGAGTTTGTTTCTTCTTACTTGAGTGTCCCACCTTTTGCATCAGGTCCCGAGTATAGCTTCTGATAGTGGGTTTGAAATCACTGTACGGGATAAGCAGTGGAGATAGGGGCTTTTCAAGAGCTGCTTTTGCTGCAGCATCGGCCTTAGTGTTACCTGCTATGCCGACGTGACCCGGCAACCAGCAGAGGACGATTTCATATTGGCCAGTAGAAAGGTCGTTGTACAGTTCTAGTATGTCCAGGATGATTGGGTGACTTGAAGTCACGTTTAGAAGTGCTTGAAGGCAGGATAATGAATCTGTAAAAACGATGAAGTTTTTTGACTGATTTTGCTGTTGAATGTAGGTCAAAGCTGAGAAGATAGCTTTGGCTTCAGCGGTGAAAATGGAACTGTTGTCGGGGATCCTAGAGGAGACAGTCTTGGATCCAATGACTGTAGCGCTGGCAACTTGGCCATCGTACTTGGATCCGTCTGTGAAAATGGATCTGTGAGTGTTATACTTCGAACGTTACTGGTTGTATTCCTGTTGGAACACCAAGGGATTTGTTTCAGACTTTTTGAGTTTGGTGAGGGTAAGATCGACCTGTGGTTTCACCATTTGCCATGGTGGTGAGAACAGAAGTCGGTATGGTGCAATGATGTTGAGATCAATTTTAGCTGCAGATATGTGTGGTTTGATCCTGATTCCAAGTGGTGGAACCAGGCTTGGCAGTTTAGGAAATAACTTTTCATAAAGCGGGTTGAAAACACAATTGTATGCTGGATTGGACTCATTTGAACGTAATTTAGTGATATACTGCAGTGAGAGTTTAATGCGGCGTTGTTCAAGGGAAGGCTCATTGGCCTCCGCATATAGACTGTCTACCGGAGAGGTCCTAAGAGCTCCCAGGCAGAGCCTCAGCCCTTGGTGGTGGATAGAGTCTAATTTTTCGAACTTGCTTTTGCAGGCCACCGTAGACAATGGAGCCATAATCTAGTTTACTGCGAACTAATGATCTGTACAAGTGAAGGATGGTGGTCTGATCCCCTCCCCACTCTCTATTTGAGACTACTTTTAGCAAGTCTAGAGCCTTCAAGCACTTTGTTTTCAAATATTTTATGTGTGGTAAGAATGTCAGGTGGCGGTCGAATATGAGTCCAAGGAATTTGGCCTCTTCTACTACCTTGATGGGAGTACCATCTAAAGTTAGGTCTGGATCCTTGTGTGGTTTGTATTTACGACAAAGTGAATACAATTTGTTTTGGATTTTGAAAACTTAAAACCATTTTCATTGGCCCATTTTTGGATTTTGTTAAGGCAGAGTTGTAGCTGCCTTTCTATTGCATGCATGTTCTTACCAGGACATGAAATATTGAAGTCATCCACGAAAAGGGACCCATCAATGCAACTGTTCAGAACGTTAGTGAGGCTGTTAATTTTGATGCTTAAAAGTGTGACTGACAGGATGCTGCCTTAGGGGACGGCCTGATCTTGGTGGAAATAGTCAGACAGTGTGGAACCCACCCGAACTTGAGATTGTCTACCCCTCAATCCAAACTCGTGTAAATCTTTTAGGATACCATTTTTCCACGTTGTATCATATGCTTTTTCTAAGTCGAAAAAGATAGATACGGTTTGTTGTTTGTTGACAATGGAGTTTTTGATGAATGATTCGAGACGCACCAGATGGTCAATGGTACTTGGTTTTTTTCGGAAACCACATTGGAGGTCACTGAGGAGGTTATGGGTCTCCAAGTACCAGATTAATCGATTGTTGACCATGCGCTCCATGGTTTTGCAAACGCAGCTAATTAGTGATATAGGACGGTAGTTTGAGGGATCAGTATGATCGTGGCCGGGTTTTGGTATAGGGATGATAATGGCATTGTGCCACGAAGGGGGGAAGTGTCCGGATGTCCAGATATATTTAGGAGTGTTTCCAAGCCTGTGTCAGGGAGGTGTTTCAGAAGCTGATAATGGATTTCATCAGCTCCTGCCGCAGTGTCGTGAGCCTGCCCTAGGGCAGTACGTAATTTATTGAGGGAAAACGTTTCGTTGTAATCCTCCCCATTATCAGAGTTAAACTTGACTGGTTTCTTTTCTTGTTGGGTTTGGTATTTCTGGAACTGAGGGTTATAATTTGATGAGGAGGAGTGGTTTGCCAAAGTTTCGCCAAGTTTGTTTGAAATTTCAGATTTATTTGTTAGGAGGGAGTCACCATCTTTCAGGTGGTGAACTCCTGATTTTGACCCTTTGCCCTTAATCTTTTGAATCATGTTCCACACCTTGGACATGGGTGTGCGGGAGCTGATTTTTGACACATATTTCCTTCATGACCGGCGTTTAGTTTGTTTGAAGGTACGTTTTGCCGTGGCATTTGTCATCTTAACAGCATTCAGGTTATGCACTGTAGGATGTTGTCGGAAATATTTTTCCGCCTTCTTCTTATGTTTCCTAGCTTGTTTGCAGTTTGTATCAAACCATGGTTTGCGTATTTGCGGGTTTGCAGAGGACTTTGGAATAGTTTTGTATCCGATGGCATTTAGGACGTCTGAAAATAGTTCCATGGGGTCAGGAACATTCCTGAAGTTGTCCGGCTTAAGTTTTTCTGAACATAGGGTTTGGAATAAAGGCCAATTGGCCTTAGTAAAATTCCATCTTGTTGATGGTGGTTCATCCTAGGGGTTGATAGGAGTAAGAATTGTTGGGAAGTGGTCGCTCCCACAAAGGTCGTCATGGACCGACCATTCGAACTCATTTAAAAGATTAGAATCTGTAAGTGATAGATCGAGAGCAGAGTAGGATCCAGTGGCAGGTTGGAGGTAGGTGTTTGATCCATCGTTGAAAATACATACATCATTATTTGAGAGAAACTCTTCAAGGACCTTTCCCTTACTATTTTTATCAGTACTCCCCCATAGGGGGTTATGGCCGTTGAAGTCGCCCATGATTATGCAGGGCTTCGGGAGTTGATCATATAGGTTCTGAAGATCTGATAGGCGAACAGTTGAGTTGGGAGGGAGATAGAGGGAACATAGTGTAAACCCTATGTTCAGAGTCATGCGGACAGCAACAGTTTGTAGGTTGGTTTTAAGTGGAACGGGGCTATGAAGGACGCCCTGCCTCACCAGGACAGAAGTGCCTCCTGTAGCTTTTACACCGGGAGGAGAAAAGGAGTGGTAGGAACTGTACCGACGGATGTCGAATTTATCGGTCCTTTTTAGGTTTCTTGGAGACAACACGTGGATGGTTTGAAGTCTTGAATCGATAGCTGTAATTCATTATAATTATTCTTAAGTCCTCTGCAATTCCATTGGATCATGTTTTGTGGATTCATGGTGCTTCCACTGGTGACATGTCACGTGAACGTGAGAAAGCGTTTGATGAACTCCTATTGGTGTGAGGTGGAGATGGAGTTACCTCCACATCCAGAGGGCCAAAGGAGTTATGGACCTCGATGGGGACCTCTGAAGGAGAGGTGGCCTTTGGTTTTGTGTTTGGCAGTTGTTCAAGTTGTTTTAGTCTCTCTAGCCTCTTTTTTCCCCTTTTTCTGCGCGCAGTTTCTGTTTCTGGTTTTGGCATTTGTTCTGGTGTTTGTAATTCAGAGGTTTTGACTTTTGGCGTTGGAGATGGAGTTGCTGAGATAGGCTGAGTTGTGTTGAGTTCAGTTGGCTGAGAAGACATGATCCATGTCAGGTCGGTCTGACAGGAGATGGTTGCAGTAGTGATAGTAGGATGGGAGACAGCAGAAGAGTAGGTGATGGTTGAAGGGGCTGCAGTTAAACTTGCAAACCTCTTCTTTGCTTCGTGATAGGAGATATTTTCTTTGTGCTTGATCTTTAGTATCTCGGATTCGCGTTGCCACACTGGACAGAACTTGGTAGAGGCCATATGGCTACCACCGCAGTTTGTGCTCTTCACTTCCTTAGTACAGTCGTTGCCCTCATGCTTGTCACCACAGTGGTAACAAACAGCAGAGGAACGACAGGACTTGGATCCATGTCCAAACTTTTGGCAGTTGTAGCACCGGAGTGGATTGGGGACATACACCTCCACACCAATGCTACAATAACCAGCTCTAATCGAGTCAGGAATGTTTGCTCGCGCGAACGTGAAGAGATAGGTGTTCGTTGGTTGAACAACATCGTCCTTTTTGAAGGTGAATCGTTTTACGGCTGTGACGGATTGCTGAGAGAGTTCCTTGACAATTTGTTCTTCAGTCATGTCAGACAGGCATGGAGCTCTGTCCCGTACAGTGCCTCTACACGAGTTAAGTGTTTTGTGTGCTGAGACAGCGACCTTGATATTGACAAAGTCTTGTATTTTGAGGAAATTTAGTGATCGGTGTTTCCGGGTACATTCTATCAGGAGAGAGCCAGATCTAAGCTTTGTAACATTGGCAACCTCTCCACAGATACCAGCGATACCTTTGGAGATTGCAAAAGGTTCAATTGCAAAGGTTGCTTGTCACAAGCCTTAATGATCAGGAAACGTGGCCAGTAGTCAGGTCGGAGGGGCGTACTCTCGTCAGACGAGGAGTTGTCATCATCCATGTGTCTTCGTTTTGAACCGGGGTATTGGGAAGCCATATCGTTAGTAATGTGGTTCGGCATCCCCTCTCCCCACCCACCGTGGAGTGTCAACAAGGACGATCTTATACTGCAGCGGGTCTCCAGACTGCAAAAACCTGGGATAAGGGGGTGTTATACTCCAGCGAATTTGACATGAAATGCTGTAGCTGCCTACCAGATTAAAGGTCAGGATGGTTCTGTCCATGACAATCAATTGGAGAAGACCTTTGAGCGACCTATGACCGTCCAGTCAAACGCAAGACGGCCGAACGGATTTAACCAATCAGACAACGGCTACTATTTAGGGTTCGACGAATCTCTCAACAAAGGGAAATCCGCATGGTATTTGACCTGCAGTAATTATATAAACGCTTACGGTTTCCCGATGACACGGTTACTATTAGTTTATATTTCCGCAAGATGACATCCTGGAATATTTGCATCAACGCTGTTTTTCAGCGACTGTTAACTCACTGTTGTGAATAATGACATCATCCATGTGTATCACTCGGAAGCGATCGTGCTGCAAATAGCATTCGGAAACGTTCGAGTACAAACATTTTCAGGGTAAAGGTTCAAACGGTATGTGCGAATGTTAGCTTTGGTAAGTTGTGATCTGATTGGTCAATTCAAAAGGTTGGCTGGCGCGACCTTCTACTGGGGTTTGTTAGACTCAGTATAGTAGTGTAACGAATATTACTGAACCTACGTGTACTTTAGACTGTAGACCTCATGCAGTATTCTCTGGTGTTGACGTTCATATACGTTCATTAATAAAGGGTCAAATCATATATATCACATGTATAGAACAGTTTCTCAGAAATAATAGAACTAAGAGTGTCATCATAATTTTAATGTGTTGACAAACGTGACACAACGTGACATACAGACAAAAAGTTCAAACAGTACAAGCAAACATCATTTGTATAGACCAACCCCCAAAAATGAAAATGACAGACATACAACACTCGGTCATTCAATATCTTATGTACCCTCCTCGCCCGTCCAAGACACTGGTGCACCTTGGTCACATGCTCCTTATCAAGTTCATGCAGAAAGCTTGCGGAATCGCATTCCTTTCCTTTACTAGATCTCTGCGAAGTCCTGTGAGATCCACTGGTGCTGGGTGACGTGTGTACACACGTCGACCGGGTTCATAGCAGGCATGCTTAAGTGGGTCTTGCAGTAGAGAGTGACGACCATAAAAAGCCATGCATACCTTGCAGGAATGCCACTGCTATAGGAGCCAGATTCTCGTCCCGATAAAGCTGTCCGGTACGATTACCGTCGACCACGTGCATTGGAGTACGTCCAGTAGGAGTTATCCCTGCTGAAACCATGACCGACCCCCCGCCAAATCAGTTATGCTTGGCCACAGCTGCATCTGGGATTCGTCGTTCATTGGGATGATAAACCCTCTGTCGACCATCATGTATGGCAATTGATTCTGCTTTCATATGTGAAGAGCACACGAGTGATGATAAGTCTTTGACAGTTCTTCGTCAGTTTGACCTCATTATCGATGGTGCCGACCTAATTAGAGATGTTTAGAGCGAGTTAACGGCATTGCAATGCATTATTCAATACAACAGGGTATATTTAGCAGTTGAAATATCCCCTCAGTCTGAAAACAATCTTGTTTTTTTCCGAGTTAACAGTTAATTGATGACTTTTACAGAAACTTTCTAAAATATGTATACGTTTTTGAAAACCAAATACAGAGTCTTCAAAAAGTACAATATCATCAGCAAAAAGTAGTAGGAACATTTGTACAACATCGGGGGGAGCTGTACACCTGGGTAACATGTGGATTCAATTTCTAGAGCTAATTCATTGATAAAGAATGAGAACAATGGCGGGCTTAAAACACATCCTTGTCGCAAACCCTGTGGGCAATCAGACAACTGAGAGAGAGAAATATCACGCACCTGTCCCTTAACACACTTATAGATAGAAGTTAAGGTTTTAAGCATGGTATCATAGACTCCTACAGCGAGAGACACAAGTTACATAGTGACAGATAAACTAGGTCACAGATAACGATATCAAACCGGCTGTATAAACAAACCATAGTGAATGGTTTCACGCCCTTGAAATTCAGCATATATAATCGTTTTTGTTTGTTTTCATATCATTTCTTTCACAATCATGCACACTGAAGGATGGAAAGAGTATTTGTCCAACATTTTCTTTGATCCTAAACGTCCAGCCTCCTTTTCAGGTCCGACAAAGTTATATTACAGGAGGGGAAATATGATATCAGCTTACATCACATCAAGAAGTGGCTAGCTTCTCAAGATGCCTATTCTCTTCAGCGACCTTTAAGATACAAGTTCAAGTGAAACAGAGTGGTCTCAACTGGTTTGAATGATCAGTGGGATATTGACTTGGCTGATGTCTCTAATACAGCGTCGGACAATGATGGTGTGAAATACTTATTGATAGCTATTAATGTATTTACACGTTTTCTGTGGGTGGAACCTCTTACAAATAAAGTGAGATCATATTTAGAAAACAAGGGTATTACGTACTATGTCACACAGAATGAAACAAAGGCCTCTTATGCAGAGAGAGTAATACTGACACTCAAGACCACTATGTACAGTTTCTTTACTTACAAACAAACTTATCGTTATCTTGATATTTTACAAGATCGTGTGAGGGATTATAATCATAGACCTGATAGCTCACTGAATGAAAGATCACCCACTGATATTAATGCAAACAATGAATCAATTGTTTGGCGAGTACATTGATCCACTAATCAAACAAATCACTTATAAAATGGAAACGATGCATGTAAGCAAAAGGAAAGCCTTTAAGTTTAAAGTAGGAGATCAAGTAAGGCTATCTCATTTGAGACACCCCTTTTAAAGAGACTATCAAGAAAAATGGACAGAGGAAATTTTAATGTAAGCAGACGTTAGTACAGAGCTGGGATACCAGTTCATAAAGTGAAGGATATGGCGGAGGATTCAGTTACAGGGACTTTTTATGCAAATGAACTTCAGAAAGTAGATAAGGCAACAGACAGTATGTGGCGAGTGCAGAAAGTATTAAAGAAGAGGAAACGGACTGGAAGGAAAGACGTTTTGTGAAATGGATGGCCTATCCTGACAAATATAACAGCTGGATTCCTGAGGAAGATCTCCAGAAGGTATAAATAGGACGAGTCTAGTGATTACTCTCAATAAGTGTTCTGTAAGCCATGGAGTCGACATCATGTCCTGAATGTGGGAAAGTATTTTCAAGAAAAGATGCCATGTATCGACATAGGAGGAACAAGCACTCAAACAAAACCAGTGAAGTAGATACACCACCACCACAACCACAACCACCACCATCACCACAACCACAACCACAACCACAACCACCACCACCACCACCAACCACCACAATCATCACCACGACAACCACCACCATCACCACCACCACAACCACCACCACCACCACAACCACCACAACCACCACCAACCACCACACCACCACCACCCATCACCACAACCACCACCATCACCACCACCACCACCACCACCACCACCACCACCATCCACCACCACCACCACCACCACCACCACCACCATCACCACACACCACCACCACCACCACCACCACCACCACCACCACCACCACCACCACCACCACCACCACCACCACCACCACCACCACCACCACCACCACCACCACCACCACCACCACCACCATCACCACCACCACCACCACCACCACCACAACCACCACCATCACCACCACCACAACCACCACCACCACCACCACCACCACCACCACCACCACACCCACCACCACCATCACCACCACCACCACCACAGACAGCATCATCATCATCATCATCATCATCACAACCATCTCATATAGTGAGGGCACATATATTCCATGCTCCTGAACAATTCAAGTTCAAGCACCTAATCACATCGTATGGTGCTATATGGAATGGCAGCCCATTTACAATACTATTGTAAGAGCCATGCCTCATATTCAATTTATCAAAGGGATTCCATATAATCTACAGGATGAAGATTACTTCGATTCCCGGAACAACAACATGATTGTTTTAGATGATTTCATGTCAGAGGTTAAAGATGACAAACGTATCAGTCAGCTATTTACACGTACCTCCCATCATAAAAATGCCATTATCTTCTTACTCCTACAAAATTTGTTTCCACGAGGGAGAGAGTCACGTGACATTGCTTTGAATTCTCACTATGTGACTTTATTTAACTCTCCTGTGGATAGACAACGAGTTTGCCAGACGGATCTACCCGAACAATACTGATAGGTATGTGTCGGTGTATGAGACGGCTCTGGTGTCCCCCGCCGTGATGTTGCTGGAATATTGCTAAAAGCGGCGTAAAACCAAACTCAGTCAGTCAGTCAGTATGAGACGGCTGTTCAAAAACCCTATGGCAATCTAACTATTGACCTACGACCAACCAGTGTTGAATCTGATGTAATATCTACAATTTCTACACACAATGTGTATATCACTATGAAGTTAATATGAAAAGGGGTGACAGGTAGTGTTTTCTATGTTTTCAACCTTAAGAATCAATGAGAGCAGTACTGGACACCCCTCAACAATGGAATCGTCTGGCCCTGTTCAAAGCTTTTGACACAATAAGACATGATGTTCTCTTGCAATCTTTAGCTGAAGTTGGTATTTCTGGTAAATTTTATAATGAAATATCATCAATGTACAGCAGTTTATCTCCATGTGTTAGAACCTCAAAGGGATTATCTAAGTGTTTTACATGTAGTATTGGTACCCGTCAGGGTTGTGTGTTAAGCCCACAGCTGTTTATCATATTTATTAATAAGTTGTTTTCCTTAATGGAACAGGAAGGTGGTATAGGTGTTAATGTTTCATCTGCTTTTAACAATTTGTGTTCACTTATGTTTGCTGATGATGTTTCTGCACTTTCTGATACTTGTAATCAGTTACAAAAGAAGAAAAATGAACTTGAATGTTTTTGTAAAACTTGGTATCTCAAGCTAACAAGGCAATATTTTCTGTAAATGGTTTTCAAAAAAAGATGGGAAGAGTAAATTGTAAAGACTTATTTAAGATTTTTGACTGTATGGTTTCACCTATTTTGTGTTATGGGTCTGAGATTTGGGGTACTAACTATTGTAGCATCGTGGAGTCTGTTCAGGTAAAATTTTGTAAATATTTCTTGAAAGTTGGTAAATCTACCTGTAATAACATGGCTCTTGGTGATTGTGGCAGATTTCCTCTACAAATTACTTATATGACTAAAGTAATTAAATACTGATGTCACCTATTGTATGCCGTATGATGGAATGCCAAAACAGTGTTATATTATGCTCAAGTCCTTAGATGATGTTGGCCGCACTACTTGGGCAACTTGTGTCAAAAATATTTTATTTAAGTATGGTTTTGGCTATGCATGGATCAGTCAGGATGTTGGCAATGTTGATTATTTCATATCCTTGTTTAAGCAGAGACTTTCGGATAATTTTAAACAATGTTGGTCCACTTCAATTTAAAATTCTAATAAGTGTTTCTATTACTCCCAATTTAAGACATTTTTAAATGTGGAAAGGTATTTAAATTCTGATATTCCTTTACATCTCAGATCTGCACTCTCTAAATTTAGATGTGGTAATTATAATTTAGCTGTTGAAACTGGAAGATACAATAAAGTTAATTACAATGAGATGTCTATTTTGTAAATTGGATGACAAAAATGTTATTGAAGATTAATTCCATGTACTCCTTAAGTGTGAACGTTTTTCTGATTTAAGGTTAAGATATATTCAGAAATATTTTACTGATTTTGATCCAAATGCCAATTTTATTAACATTATGAAAACACATAATGATTGTATCATAAGAGATGTCAGTATTTTTCTGTATCATGTACTTTCATTAGAAATGTTCCTCTTACACAGCATGTGCACTAAACTATCTATATCATATGCAAATGACTGTATGATGGGCCTGTGGCCTTTTACTGAATAAACTTGTCTGTCTGTCTGTCTGTCTGTCTGAACGTGTTGACAATCACACAGCGATTTCAATTCAATTTCACACTGTTTTGTATGACCTACTTTTCTCTCAATAAACATTGAAATATACTTGAGATGCACTGATGTACAATAAAAGTTTAATTCTTAGTTCCCTATTAATGCATGTATGATGTAAATCTGTGTTGAGACTTCTATAGTTATAGTGTAGTAGGACTAATCTGTAGACTGAGTATAGGCGTAATATGCCGTTTACTCACTCTTGGCTGAGAGTGGCATGCGCAGTGTGCGCATTCACAGGATTAAAGAGGCAAGATAGAATAGCTTTAGTAATATTCAACCCACTCGGGATGACCCACTGCAGCCTACAAATACGCATGATCATTACAGGGGTGAGACTGTATAGCACAGTGAACACAAGGGCTGTCAGCACTGACCTAGTTCTATGTTTAGCTGTAGGATAACATCACAGTGACCCTTATAACTAGGTTAAACAATTAACGTTCATGCATTTTAAAAGCTAGCACTAATTTAGCTGATGTTGGACACTATTTAGTATTACCTAGTTGTCTGTTAAAGAAGATGACATTCTCGCTATCTGTTGCCTGGTGGATTCTCCCACGTCTAAAACTAGCGTGTATTGCGCAATGCAATGCTGTTGACTCGCTTTAAACGTTTCTAATTAGGTCGGCACCATCGATAATTAGGCAAACTGATGCAGAACTGTCAAAGTCTTATCATCACACGAGGCCATTGACGTTGATTCCAGCGGCCATGATGTCTACTCCATCTCAAACGCGCCTGCTTGTGACGTGGTGTTAGTGGTGGACGAGCTGCAGGTCGCCTACAGCGGAGTCCGCCTGCCCTTAAACGTCAACCAACGGTGCTCCTGGATATCCTTACATTGTTAACATTGAAGTGTTCTGTCGGAAGATCTGCTGCATTAAGGAATCTGTTACGTATCGCAGTCCTTGTGTCCATCATCTCGGACTGTTGTGACCCTGGGGCGACCTGGTCGACGTGCATATTCCACGGACCCATTGGCTTGAAATCTCTGCCACAGTCTACCAATAGCACTGGCTCACATTAAAGCGGGCAGCAACCTGCCATTGAGTTTGACCAGATTCCAAAAGGCCTATAGCCTGACCCCTTTCAGCAAGTGTCAAAAAAAGTCTCATTTTAAGCTGGGATTTCAAACAGGTACCTGAACAGTGAACGACAGTGAAAAAGCCTCAATGCATGTGTATTGTCCTTCCACTTCCATGGATAGAGTGACTTGCACGGGCAAATCATTGCCATTAAGTGGCAGGTGGATTTCCATATTGACAATTTGAATAAGAAATGTGCCATTTGTAACAGAAAGTATCGGATGTTAAAGAACGTAATATTGACATTTCAACAGCCTTATGTGTTTTTCCACACTGTTAAATAAATAAGACCCGTGAAGATCCGGGGTAGAATAGGTCTTCAGCAACCCATGCTTGCCACAAAAGGCGACTATGCTTGTCGTAAGAGGCGACTAACGGGATCGGGTGGTCAGACTCGCTGACTTGGTTGAGACATGTCATCGTATCCCAAATGCGCAGATCGATGCTCATGCTGTTGATCACTGGATTGTGTGGTCCAGACTCGATTATTTACAGACCTGCGCCATATAGCTGGAATATTGCTGAGGGCGGCGTAAAACTAAACTCACTCACTCACTGTTAAATAAGTTTGTAAAACATTCAGTTGTATATATTTAAGAAAATATTTTACGTTTTAGAAATAGTGGTATCAATAGCTTGACCCTTCATTAATGACGCCGAGTATATGTTACCGATAAAATAGCATATGATGAGTGAGTGAGTATGGTTTACGCTACTTTTAGCAATAGTCCTGCAAAATCACGGCGGGAGACACCAGAAACGGGCTTCACACATTGTACCCATGTGGGGACTCGAACCCGGGTCTTTGGCGTGGCGAGAGAACGCTTAAACCACTAGGCTTCCCCACCGCCCTTAGCCCATGATATTGCTACATACGATGCATCTTGTTTTCAAGTCTACCAGTCTAAACTGCCATCCCCGCTTATATTAAACATAATAAAAGTCACATTAATATGGCGCCTAAACTTCAAATGTTGCTCAAAGGCGCAGGTTATAGGCTCTTTGGAAAAGCAGGATCTTCACTTCATGCTCGAATTTGTGAAAGTAATTCCAGAGGGCTGCACCTGCCGCAGCAAAACTCTGTCACTATAGGATGACGTTAGAGTTTGGGCACAGTTAGCTGCTGAGGAGCAAGCCTGGTAACTTGCGAAATGTTCTTGCAGGTAACATGCATCGCTTGACATATGAATATCAGAAGTTTGTGCTCAATTCTGTTTTGAAATGGAAGCCAGTACAACTAATGTAACTTGGCGTCACATGTTCATACTTGCTCATTCCACTTATCCTTTTAGCCGCAAGATTTTGAACTCTCTGGTTTGTGTCTATCCTTGTTTCGAGATGACACGAAAGCATGGATGAATATTTTATTGCTTCTCTGCCAATGTAGCGTCGGATCGGACTGATGGTAAGCAGGTAATAATATGCAGTCTTGTATATGGTATGTATATGATCCCCAGTCCCTAGAGATGACTGGAAGACTCCAGAATTCCGTGTTTGGTCACTTGGATTGACAGTACACTCTCCGATTTGTAAAGTAGGGGTTATTGTTCTAGGGGGCAATTGTCCGGAGCTAATGATGAGGAGTACTATCTTGTCATCGTTTATCATCAATATATGATGATAGCATTATAAACGTGCATGTGATTAATGTGTGAACGGTAGGTCTGAAGTAAATGTATAACTCCGTATCACCTGCATCAAAATGGCTTACCTTACAGCCCACATGCTGTTGATAGTCCAGCTGCACCCACAAGCTTTTGACGGGTATGTGCAGTCGACGTTTGGTTATATGGTCAAGTCACGTGGTAGGGTATCACCGTTGTATCACGTGGAGCATAAACCGGTTCAGCTTGTGCAGTGAGCAGAATCACTAATAATTTCTCAGAGTGTGGATCTACAGTGACTATAGAGGAACAGCGGAGCGCAAAGCAGCTACAAACCCTTTAACGATATGCTTGCAATTGGTTTAGTAATTGGGCGTATGAATTTTATTCATTTCGTGACGCATTCTTTTAAATTCATCTGATGGTAAAGGTTTGTTAATTACATCCAAGAGTAATATGGAAGCTTTTGGTGCAGCATGACCAATCCAGCATGGGACGGAACCTTTTTGTTTAACGCTGCACTCCAGTATTGCAGCGGGCCAGACCACAGGGTCCCGTTACTCGTCTCTTACTACATCGCAACCATCCAGAAGGTATTAATAGTGTATGAGTGAGTGAGTTTAGTTTTACGCCGCACTTAAGCAATATTACAGCTAAATGGTGGCGGTCTGTAAATAATCGAGTCTGGACCAGACAATCCAGTGATCAACAGCATGAGCATCGATCTGCGCAATTAGGAACCGATGACATGTGTCAACCAAGCCAGCGAGCCTGACCACCCGACCCCGTTAGTCGCCTCTTACAACAAGCATGGGTTACTGATGGCTCATTCTAACCCGGACCTTCACGGGGTAATAGTATATGATGTAAGTCAAGCACATGCATGTCATCTCTCACATGATATCTATGAACATGGCTATTTTCACCTTGAATATCGTACTGTTTTGGATCTCTTGACACGAATTTACCGAATTTACTGCAATTATGCAATTGTAATTCTACTGTCACTGTATTTCGTTCCAATCTGAATTTCTTTTGCGGTAATTTGCATCGATCTGTAAACATAGGTAATTTCAGAATAATGGCGTAACCTTTCTTTGATGTTTGTTGGTTTCACAACTAATTCTTTTTTCATAGAGTTTTCTAGTTACCTAATTGTTGCAACTTGGAAACTGGCACTGAGGCTTCGCTTCAACACCTTGTCGAGCAATATTTCAACATCTTTTTGGTGTCTACATTTCACAACCATTGTGGGACATGTTCTCATGCTCTAAGAGGAACACCACCCAGTGACTCTTGCAAAGTATCTTGTACATAGAACATAAACGATTGTTGCCCGAAGTAAAGCTTTCAAAACCATTTTGATTGACATATAGAGGGAAAGTCCAAATCTGAGGTTACACTGAGAAAAACATTTATTGATGTCAAGTGCATTTTTAGTTTCACTTGAACCATATGTTCACGTGTTATTTGAGCTGAACTATGTTCATGCCTATGCATGTATTGGGAATATATGTGACGGGTGGGACAGGACAGAGCACCTTGTAGAGGACACTTGATGTCCTCACTAACTGATAGTAACTTATGATAGCCCAGATTACTACAATGAACTTGCTGAAATAGTATAAGTCATGAACAAATGTTAAACACGCACGTCAACAATCGCGGATATACTACTGTATAACACGAATAACACTACATTAGATGATATATAAGGAAAGTAAGGTTTATATTCTTTCGCAATAACATGAGGGTTAATATGTTTTGCAGGCCACGCTTGGCTAAACATTGTCAAGTCAAGTCAAGTGTTTATTTCCAGTATGAAGGCCTCAGGCCCATATACAATGCAATATATATACAGTTTTATATACAGTAGATACATTGCAGTATTGACAGTATATAGATATACATGTGTCATATATATTATGGTGAACAAATATTGTTTGTGGGATATCTAGTGTAAATATCCCGAAGTTGTCGTGTATGTAAACATGGGTACAATCTGTGGTTATGCAAGCATAGATCGTTCTTGACGATATGAAAGTGCCTGATCACTGCTGGTTTACAAAGAGGTCTGTGCATCGTTATGAGTGTGTGTGTGTGTGTGTGTGTGTGTGTGTGTGTGTGTGTGTGTGTGTGTGTGTGTGTGTGTGTGTGAGAATGAGTGAGTGTGTGTGTGTGTGTGTGAGCAAAACATCGTATTCATCTTTAGGTAACCTTTCAAATGACCTCTGATATCTAACTTAACAGCCACGATCTACATCCATATCGGGGATATTTACAATAGGCTATCACTTTAACAGTTACTCAACAAGAGAGAAAATATTTAACTTTATTAAAGAAATCATTGTCATCGAACCTTGTTCAGACTCTTGAGGATGACAGTTTGTGTAATCACCACAGCTGCAAATACTGGAGCTTGGTTTCCGAAAGATTGATATGTATGTGTCTCGAAATATGAGCCATCCACGCTTCGTGAAACACACACTGAGTGGTTGGTTTGGAGTTAAACTTTTCGGTCAAGGCCATGTTTTTAAATAGAATGTCTGTTCTAAGACGTAAACTGTTGCTGTCTACAGTACAGGCCGAAAAGTCATGGCGTACAACGGCGATGCGCTCTAATTACCTCTGAATATATGCGTCACTGTGATGTAATTGCAGGTTTTACTTGATAAATACTGGTGATAATGGTGTCCGTAAATATTCAGCTTGATGTGAATATATATTTACGAATAAGTTTGAGTTGTGTCTCCTGTCAGAAAGCTAATAAAAATGAGTGAATATGGTTTTACGCCGCTTTTTTCAATATTCCAGCAATATCACGGCGGTGAACACCAAAAATGTACCCATGGTCTCGAACCCGGATCTTCAGCATGACGAGCTAACGCCATGTACCCATGTGGGGAATCGAACCCGGGGTGTTCAGCATGACGAGCTAACGCCATAACCATTTGGCTACCCCACAGCCACTGCCCCAAAAGCCAAACACCCTGTAATACAAGTATCGCCAGTATTCCAGGTTGTTTTGTTCATTTGCATTAAGTGATAAAACAAAGACATGTTTTGTGAAGGCGATATACGAACTGCAGTGTTTGACATTGAGTTACACTATTTGTACATGAAGATAATATTTTCTACATACTTAAAATAGATGTTATGGCTTTGATGACAGTAATCTCCAAGTTACGTTGCATAGTAAGGATATTTCTTTTCAGCCAATTTCTGGTATGTCAATTATGCCATTTGCTCAATTAGTTACGAAGGAAAACATCAGTTGTGACTGGGCGATTATCAACTTAATAAAAAACCTTGTTATATGTTTTTACCCGATATACCGGTACTCGATGGATAGTCGAATAAATATCGTTGAAAACTGTATGGTGGTATATCGGTAATACCGCGCAGTGTCAGTACCAACGAACCTTGAATTCGACATTCCACACCATGGACGCCCGAACAAAACAATTACATTTTTGTCTTTAACAATTAAGTGACAATTACAGTTGTTAATTGTACAACTTTACAATTACAGACTCACTTACTCGTCTAATTTTTGACTCATATTTAACATTTCTGTCACATTTAACGCTTCTGCCACACATTAAATCCTTAATACTAAATGCCTGAAGGCACTTGACTTGTTGAAAGTCGTTTCCAATCTAAGTGGGGAGGGGATCAAGCTACCCACCTACATCTATATCGATCACTGGTCCGTTCCAAACTTGATTATGGCTCCATCGTATATGGTGGAGCCTGCAAAATCAACCTAAATCTAAATGATTCTGTCCACCACCAACGTCTAAAACATTTGGGTTTGGGTCCTTTAGAACCTCTCCTGTTGACAGTCTCTACGTGGAGGCCGGTGAGCCATCCCTTAAATAACGCCGTATAAAATTATCCTTGCAGTATATAACAAAATCATATTCTAATGAGTCAAATCCTGCTTTCAACTGTGTTTTTAAACCTCTTTATGAGGATCTATACAATAAAAAGTCAAACGTTTCCTTTCTGTTGCTGGTATTGAGCTAGAAAATATATCTCCTTCCCGTTTGCTTTCTTCTCCTCCTTGGCAACTGGTAAGGCCACAATTAGGCTTTTAATTTGTAATTTTATTGATATATGATATAGTCATTTATTGTTCTCGTCACGATATGGCTGAAATATTGCCGATGTGACGATAAATAGTAACTCACTCATTCACTGTATGATATTATCATGTTCGCCAAGTCAAACAGCTCGAATGTACTATTTTGTATAAGCTTCTTGACTGTTTTCTATTTACATAACATGTTGTAGATGACAAGCACACTCCAGGCGGAACGTTCAACTTTTTAAGCTATAGAGTTACATGAATCCTTGGTCCCCAATTGCGTAGCAATATCTCACGCTATTTAGTACCATGGTGCTCCTGTGGCCATATCTTTCATTTTGTTGCTTTTAATTCTATACATGGAGCGTGTTTTCAAAAGCATGTTTCGTTCCGGTGTATGGTCGTTCCGGTGTATGGTCGTCTCACGGCTGATATAGACGGCGTTACCTGCTGATAGTCTCTGTGAGATGTAAACATGAGACGGATTGCGACACCTGTGCATCACACGTGACACGGTGAGCTAATCAGGTCCGAGTCTTGTAAGCGGGTCGTCCGAGCTGCATGCGTGCATCAGTCTCGTCTTGTGTTCTGTCCTATGTTGTCGTCACGAATAAATATTATGTGTGCCGGCGTAAGATTGAATACATACCCGCGTTCAAAAGGTACCCGGCCGGTACCTTTTTGAACATTGAATTATTACCCGGGGTCACTTTTCAACTCCAGGGGTCTTTTTTCAACATTGAAAAATAACCCCGGTCACGTATTGAAAAGCTACCCTCGTTGAATAATGACCCTCGCTGTTTCTGCACTGTAAACGTACTTTAAATATAGAAAAGTCAAGTAAAGATATGTACATGTACGCAACGCACCGGGCGTCTGTGATTGGATGGTGAACATAAACACATTTTAGCTCACCTGGACAATATCCAGAACAGCTTTTGTCGTGGGCTGTATGTACGTCATCCTGCGACGTGGGTCGTGCAAGATCTGTAAATATTAGGGCTGGATACTGCAATAATTTAAGAGATATTGCAATACATATTGTGATATATTGACTGGAAGATTTCTGTCCAAGTGTGTACATAATAAATTCATAATAGCTCTCTGTGTGCGACATCATCTTCT